AAGTAATCTGAACATATATATGTGTTTAGATTCATTAACATCTATATGTATATGGGCAATGTTAGAAAGTCTTACATCGTGAAACGGGGGGAGTAGCTAGCAGCTGGGGATTGATATCACAATCTCCTGCAGGAAATAAAACTCTCACATGTTTTTCGCTGAATTTATTCTTTTTCTGGGATTTCACGTGAACAATATATATTATAATATAATTGAGGTTCTGATGCAAATTTGCCTTCAAGAGAAAGAAAATGTGACGATTGTTGTAATAGTAATAAGCTTCTTCCTCCTTCCTAATAAGTATAGTTTTAGTTTTTATTAAAAATATACTAGTCTTTTAACATTTTCTCTCCATATTAATAAAAGCAAGGTATTCTTTTAACTTTTTTTCTTAATATGTGTTTGACTAATTGAAAATAAATTTATTTCTCTACTATCTTAAAAGCGGAGTTGTTCTTCTTTCTTGATTCTGCCCCTCCTTCCATCATGCCCACACACATGTAGAGTAAGTACGCAACCATCAGTTCCAATATTTTAAGTACGCAACCATCAGATTCAATATTTTATCTTCTAATAACACCTATATATATTATATGATTTAAGAGCTACCGCTAGAATGTTGTACAACTTATTAGGGGTGTATGCATATTCTAATGCTGTCCAGATTTATGATTACTAAATATATCATATTATGTGTTTATTTTAAAACGGAGAGAGACGGAAGGAGTAATTAATGTACGACCGATTCCAGTCCAAACTGACATTGCATGCATAATGGACCCTCCCGGCTGTTCTGTCCCTGCAGCCTGCATCAAAAGCATGTCGGGCTTATCCAAATCTTGTCTTTCCATAATCCATAGTGGAGCACCTCTCACAATCTCACATTCGCTCCTTCTCAATAGGTCGTCGTCCCCAGTACACATATATGAGCAAAAGATTTGAAATATGTCCTTACTATTTAACTTGGTGACTGATCACCCAGGAAATCTTGAAGGAGAGAAATTAATCAAAGAGCACTTCGTCCTGAATCCTGATGAATTGACCATGCGTACCTGCAGAAGTGTACATCAATAATAGGGATTTTGGACGAGATAAAAATGTACAGCATGTGAGGCGCAAAAATATTAGCAAGAATACATACGAACTGCCTTAATCAGTCTTGATTATATTAATTATAATTAATTTCAATGCCGTCAATGCCTGTTGCCTGCCTGCAATGGTTTTTTTAATAATTAACCACTTGGCCATATGAATTAATTTACTCCTGATATAAGTACGTACAACGCTGTCTTGAGTTAGCTGGTCTTTACAAAGAAATACGCAGTAACACAAAAGATAAGCCATTCCTACTATATGTTTCAAATAGTTTAGGACTCTTTCTGTTTCATATCATAAATCACACATTATAAGTCATTTTTTTAAGTTTGACTAAATCTACCGAAAAATATAGCAATATTTTTAAAACAAAATAAATATACTCTGAAAATTATAAGAATTATAAAACTAATTTGATATTATAAATGTTACTATATTTTTCTATAAATTTGGTTAAACTTAGAAATATTTAATTTAGAAAAAAAATTAATATGACTTATAATATGAAACAGACATAGTAGCATGTTCTAAATTCCAACACATTAAAAATAGATGTTACAACTACTCATGTTAGATGCATGTCATCATTCGTGCAACATACTCCCTCCGTCCCAAAAAAAAGACAAACCCTGGTTTCCGTGCCCAACGTTTGACCGTCCGTCTTATTTGAAAAAAATATGAAAAAAAATTAAAAAGACAAGTCACGCATAAAATATTAATCATATTTTATCATCTAACAACAAGTAAAATACGAATTATAAAAAAATTTCGTATAAGACGGACAGTCAAAGTTGGACACGGAAACCCAGGGTTTGCCTTTTTTTGGGACGGAGGGAGTAGTAATTAACACCATTTTTTACAAAGTTCTGTTCAATTTTGATGTGACCCCCACGCGACTTCCTTTTCTTTAGGGTTTTTTTCAAGAACCTTTTCTTTAGGGTTCACGATTGTTAGACGCGTTTTTTTAACAATTGTAAACTACTTCCTCCGTTTCACATATATCTATCTATATTCATTAATATCAATATGAATGTGGAAAATGATAGAATGACTTACATTGTGAAACGGAGAGAGTAGTACTTGACTTCCATTCAACACGAAATAAAAAAAAGATAGAAAAGTATGCTATATATGTCCTGCAGATATCTACCATTAAATAAAAAAATATACATCTGAGATTTATTCATGAAAACTACACATTTTCCTGAAAAAAGGTTTCGGTATCACACTGCACTGCATGCACATGTCACTGGTGGAGAAACCATCTTTACTCCCGGTTGGGAACCCCCTTTAATCCCGGTTTTCCAACCGGGAGTACGGATCCGGGACTAAAGATATTCATCTTTAGTCCCGGTTGGTACTACCAACCGCGACTAAAGAGAGGGGATCTTTAGTCCCGGTTGATGTTACCAACCTGGACTAAAAGAGACAATAGCGGCAGTACAGATGGTTCCTTTTTCTTTTTCTTTTTTCATTTTTATATTCTCCCGAATCAAGTAGGCAAATCCCCAAATCAATCCCCAAATCTAACTAACATCCCAAATTCACATCACAATCATAAAGTTACTTATACACATAAATCAAATGCATCACAATATCCTAAGAAATTACTCAAATACATCACAGATCCAAACAATGAATCACAAATTTGTTTTTTATTTTAGGAAACCGACGGCAGGAGTTCTGCCGGAATTTAATTAGAGATAGGAAATATAGTGCTTACAAGCCAAATAGAGGAAAAACCATCAGGGCGGCCTGAAAGCCGACTTGCAGAGATCTAGCTCCTGCTTTATGACATAGGCCACCTCACGCTCAGTTCTAGCACTATCGGCGAAAATCCTATTATTTCTCTCTAACCACACATTCCACCACGTCATTAAGAGAGCTCCCCTAACCGCGAATCACAAATTTGTAACTTCTTAGTCAAATACATAACAATGAATCATCACAAATTAAAAAAAAACAAAGAAGCCGCCGCCGCCGCCGGTCGCTACGAACGACGGGCGCGGCCCCGCCAGCTGCCGCGGCCGCGGCCCTGCCACCCGCCACAGCCGCTGCCGCCCGAAGCCCCACCGCCCGCCGCCGCGCGCGGCGCTGCCGCCCTCCGCCAGGCGCGACCCCGCCGGGCGCGGCCCCGCCGCCGGCCGGCCCGCCGGATGGGAAGGGGAAGCCGGCTGGGAAGGAAGGAGGAAGGGGAGAGAAGGGGAGGAGTTGGAGAGGAGAGTTAGAGAGGATAGATCTGAGGAGAGGGGTGAGATTCGATCTGTCTAAGTTGTAACTGTGGAGGAGAGAATAATGGATAGGGATTATATACTACGTGTTTAATTTTAGTCCCGGTTAGTACTACCAACCGAGAGTAAAGATTCTTGATCTTTAGTCTCGGTTGGTAGTACCAACCGTACGTGTTTAATTTTAGTCCCGGTTGGTACTACCAACCGTGACTAAAGTGGTGATCTTTAGTTCCTGTTATTGACATCAACCGGGACTAAAGATTCTCGGCCCCCTGACATACATCTGACAGAGGATGAACCAGGACTAAAGATCATCTTTTGTCTCGGTTGGTGTTACCAACCGGGACTAAAGATCAAAATTTTTATTACCGGGACTAAAAACAATCTTTAGTCCCGGTTCTTTTTGGATCCGGGACTATTGTGGATTTTGCCGGACCGACCAAAGATAGTTTCTCCACCAGTATGCATATATTCATATATACTACTCCCTCCGTCCTACAATATAAGGGATTTTGAGTTTTGGCTTGCAATGTTTGACCACTACTTGTCTTATTCAAATTTTTTTTACAAATATAAAAAACAAAAATTTGTGCTTAAATTACTGTGAATAATGAAGTAAGTCACATAAAATAAATAATAATTTCAAAAAATTTTGAATAAGACGAGTGGTCAAATGTTGCAAGCAAAAACTTAAAATCCCTTATATTATGGAACGGAGCTTATATTATGGACGGAGGGAGTACTAATCTAAATATGAAAACTACACATTTTCCTGAAAAAAGGTTGCGGTATCACACACATGCATTCATATATACTACTAATCTAAATATGATGCCAGTTAATTGCATATATATGCTCCAAAACAATAATTTATATTGCAAGTGGTAGCTAACTAGGACACAGTAATTACGCCAACTAATAAAGCTAGTACGTACGAACTGGAAACGATCTGGTCCACACGCGTTCACTGCCTGCGTACCTGTCAACGGTGTGACCACCAATCTCATCTATCTATCTATACAACAAAAGAGCTACTCCAGCTAGTAAGGACGTCCATCTCATATCTCCACTGTTTTCTCGATCCTATATATACAAACTATACATATAATAATTCCAATGGGGATCGATCTTTTATTTTATTTCATTTGTCCCCCAAAGCCTAATTTCTCCTCTTTTAATTAGTACTAAACAAACAAAAACTTTGACAATTTCGAGTACATACTAGGTTGCGTTTGTTACAACCACAAAAGAAACAAAAGAACCCGTTTCCCGCTTGTATGTTTCCCAAATTGCTAAACTATGTAGTTTTTGCAAAAAAAAAGAGAAATCGTTATATAAAAGATTCTTTAAAAATCATATTGTCAGAATTACGGATAAGGTATACCCTCTACCCTTGGATATACGACGTATACTGATATGGTATACCTGCGTGTATACGGATGTTTCCTGTACACGTTAAGGAAATTCATCGTGTAATAGAAATGGAGTCCACGGATGGAAGGAGTCCTACTCGGACAGAACCGGGTCGTTACTGTATCGTGTGGGGTCTGATGTCTCCGAGTTCTACTTAAAGACCAACTGACCACGGTATAAAAGGAACCCCCCGGGAGGACCTAAGGCATCAAATCTTACCGCCAACACATCCACCACAGCCTACGAAGCCGGAGCCTACAGGAGCCAAGTCGCCAGGTGATCTAGTCGAACCAACTCGACTACGGTCTCGACGGTATCATCGAGTTCTATTATACCCTTTGTAATATGTGATTTCAATCATATAATCTCATATCAACTGGATTAGGGTTATTACCTTCCGAGGGGCCTGAACCAGTATAATCTCTGTTTTCTGTTTGCTTGATGTCGTACTACGTAGATCCTCGTACCAGCGTACCCCAATACCCTCTATATCCGGTCTACGGGCATCCCTCGTCGACACATATTAATCTATTTTTAAAATTTAAATTAATTAATTAATTTGCAGGCAGCTAGCTTTCTCTTATCCAACATTTGACTGCGTATAAATTAAATTTTGTTTGGTCTGAAAAAAAATATTAATTTCTTGAACAAGTAATGTGCAATGCACGTCAATAATAAACAAATCATATATATATTACACACGCGCGAGTGAGCTTTAGTTTCAATAGGAATTTACACACGCGCAAGTGAGCTTTAGGAGTACAAATTTAGTGAGACCGAGAATTCGTCTATCTGTCTTTTCAGGTGTGTGTTAGGAGACTCGTGGGTATGACATTGTAAGTACTTCCTCCGTTTTACAATGTAAGTTATTTTAGTATTTTCTATATTCATATTGGTGTCAATGAATCTAGATAGATATATATATGTCTAGATTCATTAATATTAATATGAATGTGAGAAATGCTAGAATGACTTGCATTGTGAAACGGATGGAGTAATTTATTTTCAGTTTGTAGTTTTGTACTGATCGAATGAATTATACTTTGCATGCATGTACCAATAATAGTTGACATGATGAGAATTAACCCGGCCTCATGCATGATTAAATTAGTTGATTACATGTAAGGAGGATTGACTTTTTTCCAAATAAAGGAAAAGAAGAGGCAGGAGAGTAGTACTAGTTGAGATGTACTGCTAACCAAAATAAATGGTGAGAAATATTCCAACCAGGACACAGTACAGTACAAGTAACTGCCTCGATCTTGGACCATTATCTGCCTGTGTATATGTGGCCAAACCTAACCAAACTAATTAACTAACCCCTACCAGCTCAGCTCAGCAAGCCATAGCCATTAGCCAGCTTGAATTGGATTCGCATTGAATTTGAATTGTGATTGGTCACCATGCCACTTACCAGGAGCACGTACTAATCTGCAATTGCAAATGCAGCCACGACATGAGCCTCACTCAGCCACACAAACCCTGCACTGCAACCTAAACCTTTCCTCTCATTGGCTCCTCTCCTCTCCTGTGGCTCTCCATTAATAATCCACCTCAACCAAACCATTCTCTCTCTCTCTCTCTCTCTCTCTACAATCTTTTTCTTTCTCTCTCTCTAGTTCTTGCCCCAGGACAAACAAGAACCACCAAATCAAATTCAACAAAAACAAACCAAAAAAAAATCGATCTCGAATCAAGAAAAGAATAGGGTTGTGAGCTTGAGCTTGAGCTAAGCTTAGCTTGGTAGCTAGCTTAGCCCTATGAGGAGGCGAGCAAGCTAGCGTTCCATGAGCAACCCCTCCTCGCCGGCCACGTCCACCGCCGCCGGGGAGCAGCAGCTGCACGATCAGGATCACCGGGACGAGGCGGCGCTGCAGCAAGAACACGCCGCCGCCGGCATTATTCCCGACGACGAGGACAAGCTGTCGCCGCCGAGGTGCGAATGGGAGTTTCGCCTGGCGGCCACCGTGCCGTCGCCGGCGCTCGCGGGCGCGTCCGACTCCATCGGCAGCCTCGACTTCGACCCCACCGGCCGCCACCTCGCCACCGGCGGCATCGCCCGGAAGATCCGGATTTACAGGGTCGCCGAGCCGTCTAGCCCCGCCGCCTGCATCTGCGTCCCGGCCAAGCTGAGCAGCGTGCGGTGGCGCCCTGGCGGCGGCGAGGCGGTGGCGGCGTCGCACGTGGGGTGCGGCGACTACGACGGCGTCGTGACGGAGTACGACGTGGAGCGCGGCGTGCCGGTCTGGGAGCGCGACGAGCACGAGGGGCGGCGGGTGTGGGCGCTCGACTACGCCCGCGGCGGCGGCGCGGCGACGATGGTGGCGTCCGGGTCGGACGACCGGACAGCCCACGTGTGGGACCCGCGCGCCCCGGCTGGCGCGGCGGGGTCGTGGGCGACGGCGCGCGCCGGCGGCGCCGTGCTGTGCGTGGAGTTCGACCCCGCCGGCGGGCCGCAGCTGGCGGTGGGCTCCGCCGACCGCCGCGCCGCGGTGCACGACGTGCGCGCGCTGGGGCGCGGCGCGGTGGCGTCCATGGACGGCCACGGCCGCGCCGTGACGTACGTCCGGTGGGCGGCGACGGCGCGGCGGGTGGTGACGTCGGCGGCGGACGGCACCCACCGTCTGTGGGCGCTGCCGGCGCCGGCGGCGGCGGAGACGGCGGCGAGGGAGGTGCGGTCGTACAGCGGCCACGTCAGCGGGCGAAGCTTCGTGGGGATGGGGGTGTGGCGTGGCGCGGGGCTGATCGCCAGCGGCTCCGAGTCCGGCCACGTCTTCGTCTACGACCTCCGCTGGTCCAAGCCCATCTGGGTCCACCCATTCTCCCACGCCGACGCCTTCGTCAGCGCGGTCGCATGGCGCCAGCTCGCCGGCGACGACAGCGACGGCCAGCTCGTCGCCGGCGGCTCCGACGGCGTGCTCAAGCTCTTCACCACCCACCGCCGTCTCACCCCCGACGTCGCCGGCGTCGGGGGCGACGACGACGACGACGTGGCTGCATGACAGTGAGCAACGCATTGCAAACACATCATCATCATCCTCCATTAATTAATCATCGCCACCGTGCTCGACCGTGACGCCGCCATTCTTAATTAATCTCTTCTTTGTGTTTGTGTTTCTGTTTAATCACCACATTTTTCCTTCCATTTTCTTCTTTTCCTTTCTATACTAAAAAAAGGGAGAAAGATATGGATGTAATGCTCAAGTTGTCAGAGAGGAGGAGAAGAGGATGACTGATGGATTAAGATTCTTTTCCTTTCCTTTTTTTTTGTTTGATTCGATCGGTGAATGTGATCGATGTGTTCCTGACAGTGTACACGCTGATTTATTCTTTAAACAAGAATAATAATGCTTCAATAAATTTCCATTTACCATTGATCCAACAGCATGCATTATACCATTGAGTATACTTACATGTTTTTTTTCACTTTATGAGCGCCATTTGTGTATGTTTCTTCAGTTCGATTTTGCGCGATACCACGCTTTTTTGCCCTCATTTTCTTTCGTAAAAGTTTTAGATGCTGTGGGCCTAATCAATGTTACAGTGTCGGCCCATACTGCAACGGAGTCATTCGGCCTAGTGTTAGCCCAAAGGAGTTGGGCCTAACAGGTAAGGCCCATTTTTGGTATCGGCCCACATAAACTGGGCTTCATTTGGCCCAGTCAAGGTGCGATTACTGAATAACTATTCCTTTTAAATAAGAAACTGCACAATTTTGTAAGTAGATTTATAAAGTTCAGTTTGCATTTTTTATTTGAAAGTAAGTTTAATTTGCATTAAAGCTGTCTTTAACTAGATAGATATATCTATTATATTGATCTTGCTATCACTTATGTCTGAAAAGTTTGTCCAATGAACTGGTTTCGCCTATCTTCTTTCCTGCACACATAGACTCCAAAGCTGTCCAACGAACTAGATTTATAGAAAATAAATTTTCATTCTCACTTAGACTCAAAAGGCTGTCAAATGAAATAAATTTGTATATCTTCTTTCAAACTTTAGACTCAAAAGGCTGTCAAATGAAATAAATCTGTATATCTTTCATTGCCTGAAGTACTCAGCCTACTCAATTCCTCATGGATCCCCTCTTTGCCTCCACTTTGGTCACTAGCTTCTCCTAATCTCCTTGCATGAACATTATCATCAATCCATGATAATGTACTTAAAATAATCGGATAAGCTTTTCTTTGCTACCAAGTATGCATAAACATGGTACTTTCAGAAGCAAATCGTTGCTGCTGCATGCTGATTAACAAGCAAGTTAAACAGCATCCATCCACTTAATCACCATCTTCAGCATTCCTCTCAAAATCCTCAAGGATGCCTAATAATTATTCGTGTACGTGCTTATCAAGATGACATAATTTTTGCAGCCATCCATTATACTTAATTCTGGCAAGATATACTGACAATTTGCAGTGCTAGTCTTCATTATTCAGTGAGTACCCGGATGAGCTGTACTTGTGTATACAATTGGGCCATCTTGCCTGTCTCTGTGGATTAATTCTGAAGAGAGCATTGACTTGCATCCCATCATTGCAAGTACAAAGAAGCCCTCTTGCATGTTCCTGCTTCATTTTTTTAATTTTAGAAGCATATTTTGCAAATCACCATCATTTTCCCAATAATTCTTTAATCATTAACTAAATCAGTAGTACTACACATTTACATTACATTCTAGATGTGACAAGAAGCAACAAGCCTCGCAAGTCAGGATGCAGTTCTTAACTAGGACTAGGATTTTATGTGTGTGTGGAACTGACAAAAGATTCCTTTATCCTTCTTCTCTTCAGAACAGTGCTATTAGTTTAACCACTGGGACATAATGTATAGGGCAAGATGCCTGAATTTGTTCGGGGATTAGGTGTTTGTCCACATGCACTTATGCACAAGTCAATTTGCAGACAAATATAATTTGGCACAGGGCCGTATACTTAATTTTGTTAATAAAATCATAGTGTTGTATACTTGTATTAGTTTATCATTGTCGGCTAATGTTGAGAGAAGAGAGCTCTGATTTTTTTCTCATCAGCAAATCTCATTTTTTGATGCTGAGGAAGAGAAGAGGAGATTAAGACGCCTCTGAAGCTCACATGGAACCGTCCCTTTTTGTAGGACATTATATTGTTGTGTATTAAAAGAGGACAGAGATATCACTAGTCATGATAGGACTCTTAGAGCTAATTATTATTAAATTTTAGTTCTTTGTTCTTTCTTCGGGTAAATAACATCTATGCGTTGGATCATGCTTTGTTTGTTTTCGGTTCTCGTGTCTCGCGAGCATGTTGTATACTGATTTCAGAGGATGTAAAATCGTTAAAATTTTATAATGTAGCTTAAGCTCAGCATACTTGTGGAGTTCTACAAGTATTAGTATACTTAGTAGGCTGTAGATTTTGATGCTTTTCAGCTTTCTGCAAACTGAAGCACTGAACCCATTCACATAGAGCTACTACCCTGAAGAACAACGAGTCAACATCTAGCTGAACTTAACACTTCATCTTTTTCTGAAATTAAATCATGTCAGCACCAGCAGTAAAAGACAAACACATGGCATCCAAAATGCAGAGATTTTGATGTAATTTTAGATCATCATGACGCAAACTTGGCTTTCGTTTATTTGACACTTTCGGAGAAGTCTTTGTTTTTCCTACGCGAGGAACTCGAGAAGAAGTAAAGAGAACTGGTGTACCTATACTGGGATTCTAAGAACAACTAGTTCGAGGAAAGGACAAAAATCTTGATGAACAGATGATGTTAGCTGTCAAACTGCACAAACTAGTACCGTACTTCTCTTGCAATCTATCATCATCATTTCACTATGAAAACTAAGACAGACAACTAGCCAAGTGTCGCTGAATTAGGACAATGCCACTATGTATCACCAAGAGGAAAAACAACACCGATTTCTGTATTGTATATGATGAGCACATGAAGCCGTGTAAAATGATTGTGATTCTTTCACTCTGAATTTCTTCTGCCAGCTATGTTGTTCTTAAAATTTCATAAGAAAGGAGCATTGTGGTTTGGCATTCAAGCTCAACATCATTGTTAATTTGTGCTTCTGGGGTCCTTGTTTATGTATGGCCCTTGTCCATGGTGCAGTTCATCTTGTTGATCCTTGCAGATGCAAATCCTTCTGGATGGATGCTAACTAGCCTGTCTTTTCTTGTGTCCTTGGGCAATTCTTCATCCTCCTTGGTGTTTTGTCTAGGCAGATGCTTTCAATGATTGGCAATTGGCATTAAGAGAGGGTGATTAAATCATGTCTTGTCATTGCTAATCCAAGAGCCTGTTTGTTTCATCGCAATAACAGCTCATGTCAATGCTCTACTCATCATTGGTGGAGACAGTCTGACCTTTATCACGCTGATTACTGGATAATCATGTTTTATAGTAAACAAATTGGATGGCCATTATCACTCTACTACTAATGCATGGCCCTAATAGTTTTACAGGGTCATCTGAAAATACTGCCTCTGAAACGAATTACTTTGTCAGTAAAACTCTGATAACTAACAATTTTGGTACTAAACCGATGGTCTAAGTAAGTAGGTAATTAACATATATACTATCAGCTGCCAATTACAATAACAATATAGTCACCGACTTAAAAACAAAAATAAAATGTGGTCATTAGTGCCAGCAAGCATCCACATCATTAGAACAAGGCCAAAACTGAAAGAATAACTATCAGAATCTTTTTTTGTGTAATGAAGAGAAAGAGGTGACAATGTGATATCCTCTGACCAACGCCTCCCTCTTGATGATCCTCATGCATGTGCATGTATTACCTACTCATTCCCACCAATTAAACTAATTAACACCAAAATGTGAGAACCCCCTTTAAATGACAAGGGGTCACATGGTGCTGAAAGGACTGGCACAACTCTGCTACTGCAACAGCTCATATTGAGACAAGACCAACATACAGGTTGCAGGAGGAAGAACAGGAGGAGATATTCAGAGAAGGAAAGAAGAGAGCAATGGGGTGCCGGTCCTGCGACAAGCCGAAGATGAACTACAGGAAGGGGCTGTGGTCTCCTGAGGAGGACCAGAGGCTGAGGGACTACATTGTCAAGCATGGCCTTGGCTGCTGGAGTGCTGTCCCTGCAAAGGCTGGTGAGCTTTTTGCTTCTCTCTGTCTCTACTGTGAATGCACATTGCTGCATTCACCAATGCATCCCTCTTCACAATTGTGAATTCTAGCCTAGTCTAGTCCCCTCTCTAATTGGTAATTAGCAGTTACAGAGAGTACTTAGCTTTGGGTTAGTTCAAGCTTAGCTTGATCACAATTCTTAGGCCAGTTGAAATTCCAGCCAAGGAAGAATTCTCACCCTTTTTTTTCCAAAATAATAACAAAAGCATTACAGTACATAGAGTCTAGCTCTCTAAAGTTCATCAGTTGTTCACTTGTTCTTAAATAAAAATGAAATCTTTGTCTCATTCACTGCTATTATTTCTGACCCTTTTTTCTCTCCTTTTTATTTCCAAAAGGTTTGCAGAGAAATGGCAAGAGCTGCCGGCTGCGTTGGATCAACTACCTTCGGCCAGGATTGAAGCGTGGAATGTTCTCTCAGGAGGAGGAGGACATTGTCATCAATCTTCAGGCCAAGCTGGGCAACAAGTAATCCTCACACCTGACAATCTCTATGAACAGGATGATACAAAACCAAGCTAGTTCTAACTTGTAGCTGAACTTTACCTTGAAATTCAGACAAAACAACGTCTTTTAAGTTAAAAAAAACAAAGCTCAAGCTGTCACAGAATAACAAAATTGAGCATTTTCAATTGTTCCATTTCATCTACATGATGCTGATTGTTTTGAGAAATTTATGATCAGGTGGTCACAGATTGCGATGCATCTGCCTGGGAGGACGGACAACGAGGTGAAGAACTACTGGAATTCCTACCTCAAGAAGAGGGTGATGCAGGCACAGGGCTCCATCCCTAACAATCTAGCAGCAGCAGCAGCTGAGGTCACCTCCATGAGCACCACCGAGCCACCATCATTGCATCACCATCATCATCACCCTCACCATCATCAGATCAAGAACAGCAGCGGCAGCACGACCACCTCCCATGACCAAGACGCCAACCTGAGCAGCGGCGGCAGCCATGGCGGCATCTCTGCTCCTGCACCTGTCGCTGAGCCATTTGATCAGCAGCCCAAGAGCTTCGTCTTCACCGGCGACTGGATGCCGATGTCTGCGGCGGCGGCGGGGCAGGAGAGCTACTCCATCTCGGCGCAGCACTGGCCGGCGTCCACGGCGAGCTCCGGCAACGTGACGCCGTCGCACGGCGGCGCGTTCGGGGACCAGATGAGCGGCAGCTACGGCGCATTGCAGCAGCAGCATCAGAGCTCAGCTGCTGCTGCTCCAATGGCAGGAGGCGGCGGCTACTTTGACCTGCTAAACATGGGAGACATCTATGGCGGATTTGCTGCCACTAGTGACGATCTGCTCTTCTGATGACGATTGTGTGTGATATGATCGATCGAGTTCGTGTGTTTTGTGTGCATTGAGCGTAAAAGCATCGAAAGAAATTGCGGTATACTGCTTCATTAATTTGATTCTTCTCTTTTGTAAGAAAAAATGTGATGTAGTAGAAGTTAAGCACACCCTAGGCTGGACATATTCTTTGGTTGTTTCTGCAATAAAAAAAGTGTAACCATTTGTCTGTGTAAATGTGAGCCTGTAATTCTCAAGTAGTAGTAGCACAATACCCAACTGAAAGAAAAAGTTTTATTGTTGGATCGAGTAAGTTTGATGAATTCTCCAGTTGCTCATTTGAATAATTTTGAGGAATAGAGTGATTACTTGTCACTAATAATTGATGTTCGAAAAAACGTTAAACCTCTGGATGTATTCGCAATTCATGCACTCAAAATACTCCAGCTGTAATTGATATGAAAATGGTACTATGGAACTGAGCCTTACATAGATGTTCTGCAAAATTGTATAGCTTACATGCTTCATCAGAGTTCAGTCTACAGGATGACTTTTTTCTCCACAATCACCATCAAGGTGATACACTCTACTTCTCTCGTCAAACAATGCAGTACAAAACCATGATAGTAAAAGAGCAACAAATGGGGAACAGAAATTCAATGCTTCTTGCGAGAAAAGTGGTTGTCATTCGGATTCCGTTTCCCACTGAACATTGCAAGGGCCTTCCTCACTGGAGGTTTCAGTGGTACTTTCTTTTCACCGCTGTGCGAAAATATGTCCTCGACACCCAAGAAATCATCGTCCTATAGAGAATATTATTAATGGTTAAATAAATAGTTGCTTAACTATTGCGATACAAAAACAGGAAAAAAAAGCATATGCACCCACAGAATGGAGAATATCTGTTTAGCAGAGCACATAGTTGGTGTAAAAGAACGTTTTGGAGATGTTGAATTTAAGTGCCGAAAAGCAGGCATCCTTATAAAAGGAGGCTTTTCAGTAAATCTAACAATAGCAAGGGCTAGTTACCTGCTTGTTTGACTTCTTCGATTTAGGGTGCAGAACCTTCTGGGGAAGCTGGTCTTCACGCAAAATGGGATTCTTAGTTATGGCATCTCTTCCACCTTGGGGCATTGGGAGGGAAAACTGAAAGAAAATAGGCATACAATTAAAAAGAAAATCTTTTGTCATCACAGTAGGAATCAACTTGGAAAGGCCAGGTGGGCACATGGAAAAATATCCAACCAAAAGCATTCAGACTAAGAAATGAATACGAAAACTGATGTAGAAGGCCATAGTATGGCAGGATATGTATTGCGATTCACCAAAGAGAGTCTAGAAGGACTTGATTAGTAAGGAATGCATACGGGACTGGCCAAAGCTCATGGATTTTCTACACCACTACACTGAAGACTATGTTCGACACTTTTGAACCTCTGACCATCATACATATTACAAGCATGGAAATAAACTATCTGGACATTTGGCATGAGTCTAAAATGTGCTTTTCTATTTCTCAGATAACAGTAAAGCAAGGCAGCAAACAAACCAATATTGCCACAATAATCAGGCAAGTGACAAAACATAAAAGTATCTAGGCCACATGGAAGAAAAACAGCATTAAGTTTGAAACTACACTCACTTTTGTGCCTCGAAGTGTCACACGCGGACGTCGTGAGGCCATAGTGATCCCATTTTCACCAACTGTTACCGAAACCTTCCGTAAGGTGCCACCGTTGCCACATTTTGGGCAAAATATTTTCCCAATCTCTTGGGTCACCTTATAGCAAGCATGACACCTCAGAACCCACCTGCCAAATTAGCATCCCAAAGCATTAGCGTTACAAAGAAACTACTATAAATAGAACAAGAACTAGTGCGTGAAAGAGCTCTGAAGATGCTAAAAGCTCATACCTGTGCAACTGACGTATTTGCATGCCACCTGGTGCCAAGAGACGGAGACCAATCTGCAGGATGACATTTTGCATGGCATAGTCACTGGTTATGCATGCTACAGTAGATTCAGATAAGGACCTCAACGCCCAACTCTGCTCACTGCTCCCATCATCTGCAAGAGATGAATCGACACCTTCCTCAGAGTCGCTTTTGATATCCAAATTATCCAACTCTTCAATGCATGCGTCCGTACCGCCGGTCTCCTCAACATCACCAACATTGCCTACCCCATTGTCCTTATTATCAGATTGCGAATGATCTGCAACAATTTCAGGTTCATTCACTTCTTGGTGCTCCATAACATCAGTATCAGCGGAAGGGCCATCCACTGGATTCAAACCATTTTCAGATAAAATTTTATCGTCATCAATTGATGGGGCAGCAGAACTTGTCTCAATACTTTGTTCAGATTCCTTGAGGGCATCACGTCTCGCCTTCCTTCGTAGATATCTTCTGTGTGTACTGCGACTAACAGCAGGCAACCAACCTTCATTATTCTCATCATCTTCCCAAGCAATACCTACATCTTTCTTTGCAGGCTGATGCTCTTCATCACCTTGCTTGTCAGAAATACTGTTGGTCTCACTATTCGGTATTTCGTGGTTCTCAAGATCCTTCAGTGGAAGTATGCGTGACTTGAGATCCCCACCTGCTTCAGACATCTGGTCCAATTCTTCCCATTCTGCTAGGTTCTGCACATTAGAGCCCCAACCTGGCAGTGGAGCCTCTTTCAGGTTTCTCACATTCACCACACGCAGAGGAGGTGGCTGCTCCCGCAAATGGTTAGTCCCATGGATCTCAGCTTCCAGCATGTAAGCTAGAGCAATAATCTTGATATCAACATCTGAAAGCGTCTGGAGGTCTCCTGTTTCCCGGGCAAATTTGACAACTGCCAGAAACAAAGATTGAGAAATTAGCCTTTCTCATCATTACGTCATTCAAAGATGAGGAAAATTTCCATAGTAGAAGACTAGAAGGCTAATTCTATTCTATAGAAAACCATACTGTTGTGACATCTAATTGCTTTTGCACATGCAAGCCTTGCCATTTCCCTCATGCTTACATTAAGTTTTAAGACAACAACATTAAACAAACTACCAGCTCATGTTACACAAAGGCAATGTTTTAACCACAAAACTTATTAAACCATGGTCTTGGCTACACCTACACCGTTATCCAGTTCTTAGTACACTCGTACCATAAAATCTATTTTAAGGAAAATGTGAAATTCACTGATCTGTAGATAGTTTTATTGCTAATACTCAACAAGGTTCAGTCAGAATTGCTGAAGGTAGTACCTACCTTTCTTGACGAATTCAGGGGCAGGGTCGAGGGTCTCGACAGGGGCCATGAGGAGCGCGAGGCGGCGGCGCGCGGACGCGTCGCGCACCTCCTCCAGCACCTCGGGCACCGTGACGAGGCGGGCGGCGGACGAGGAGAGCGCGGCTCCGCCCGATATGACGGCGTTGGCGTCCACCACGGCCACCGCCACGCCGCTCGTGTTGGCGCAGCTCGCCACCAGCCGGCTCACCGCATGCGCCGACGACTCCTCGGCCACCTCCTTCCGCTGCGCCACCGCCGCCGCGCCCCATGCTCCTCCACCTCCTCCTCCTCCGGGAGGAGCCGCAGCTTCCGGGGCGGGGGCGAGAGGCGGCCACGCTTCTTCCATGGCGGCGGCGGCGGCGCTAGGGTTTTTGGGTTCACTTTGAGGCTGTTTGGTTGGTTGGCCCGCACCAGTCCATGCAAATTTGTTTGCGACCAAGGGACGAAAATCAGACTGACCTACAAATAGAGGGACCCAAAATGAACTTATTCTTTGGTTGCCTGCTCGGGCCGGGCCTCCCAGCCTGTCCACGAGGATGCAAAAAATAGCCCCTCAGCCAGGCCCAAGGCCCGACGGAAACGGACTTCGCTGCTCGGCCTGGCTCGACTCGAGTGATGCACCCGCTCACGGAGGATATATGGGGTCACCGCTACTTCTCCCTCTCGCGAAAAAACTAGGGTTTACCCTAGCGGCTCTGGCGGCGGCGAGGCCCCTCCCCTCTCCTCCGACTCCGGCTCTCCTCGGTCGTCCTCCCTCTCTTTTGCCGGTCGTGCCCCCTGCTCCACCGTCACTCTCCGTCGAGCTGAGCACAATGGATAGTTGTCCGTCGCCCATTGCAAGGTTGGGCATCCTCTTCCCTGTCCCAGTTTTTTCTCCTCTATTTGGTTGATTTGCTGTGATTTGAGTGGATGAGATTCTCACATGGGGCCTTCATAAATCTGCTACATTTTCCTAGTTGATTTTGGTAGATTTAAATGTTGAAACCATCTACTGTTGCTATCCTTCTCCTTTTCCCTCTTATAGTTGCGGAAAAAACGGCGCGTATTTTAGAAAAAATAGAGGGGTCTTATTGCATAATGGCCATCATATCATCTCGCCGCGATAAAATGGCGGCGTCACCATCCGCATTTCCCCTTCTCCGCATCTCGCCTTTTTCCTCCTCCGGGCTGCGGCAATGGCCGAAACCCTAGTCCCGCCGCCGCCGCCACCCTCTGATCCCCACCAGATCTAGGATTTGTTTGTTGTTTCACGGTGCTCCATGCCCTTCTCCTTCCTTTCCACCACAACTCCGCCCACCGCTCTCAAATCCACCGCGTCCACCCCCGCCCGCCTCTGCTCCTCGTCAGATCCGACGCTTAAGCACCTTTCCGAGGTGTGATTTTTCCCCCCGATGGTATTGTATCGTTCTCATTCTCTTATCATCTTGTTGTTAAGGTTGCTCTTGTGTGGTAGTGTATGTTCAGGTGGTAGGATTTGTTTGAGTTGATATCGCTGAGCTAGCTGAGCTAGATGATTAGATTAAATTGGAATGAGGCGTGCAAGTTAATCTGCCTGCTGAACTGATTGTATCTCAAATTAAATTGCTGTGATGACATCTAATAGGACGGTATCTGAGCGACGGATCTATCCTCGCGTGATTATACCTAAACTGAGACTAAAAATGTCTGAGCAAAACTCTGCATTTCTTTTTTACCATCTGGAAGTTGGAATATTTGCTTCTCGCTGTTCAGAACTAAGCAGCAACCAGCATATGCTATTCGTGTTCTGTGTCGTCTTTGTTACTGCCTTGAAATGAGAATGATGATTTGCACTGGATTTAGAATGATTGTTTTGCACTGGATTTAGAATGATTGTTTGCCTTGATGATTCCTACAAGGACGGTATCTGAGTAAGGTTCTTGAAAGAGTACTCCTTATGTGATTACATCCAAAACTGATCAGAGATTCTGAGCAAACATGTGTCTGAACAGAAGAAATTGTCTATCCTGTTGTACATTTGACTGTTTCTCAACCTGAGAAACATGTTAAGGTACTACGTATTATAAGGTAGTACATTTTGATTGAGTTGATGTCGCTGAGTTACATGGTTAGATTGGAATGAGGTGGTTTTTAAGTTTGTGGGCCTGCTCAACTTAATGACTGTATCTCATAATTGCTGTGATGACATCTACAAGGACGGTATCTGAGCGATGGATCTATCCTCACGTGATTATACCTAAACTGAGACTAAAAATGTCTGAGCAAAACTCTGCATATTTTTCACTCTGTGAAAGAAGGAATATTTTGCTGTTCCTGTTCTATGTAGGCTTGGTTACAGTCATGCTACACCCCCTATTTTTTTTTTATGATGATTGTTTGCTGTGATGACATCTACAAGGACGGTATCTGAGTAAGGTGGCTCTTGAAAGAGTACTCCTTGCGTGATTACATCCAAAACTGATCAGAGATTCTGAGCAAACATGTGAATCTGAATAGAACCAGAGTATCAATCCTGTCGTACATTTGACTGTTATGCAAACCTGTCAATGATACGCGCTTAATGTATCTGCTTGGTTTCTGCTCTTTTTACACTTAAACATAATTTCCCTTTGAAGTTAACAGTTAGGCCCATTAACATTTCTTTTCTTGATTGTTTGCCATGATGATTCCTACAAGGACGGTATCTGAGTGAGGAACCTCTTGAAAGAGAGCTCCTCACATGATTATATCCAAAACTGATCAGAGATTCTGAGCAAACATGCAATTCTGAATTAAATAATAAATAATGAAGTCGCTGTGCCTGTTGAGCAAAATCCTTCCTGTGATTGAACTGCTTTCCCAGCTGAAAAGAATAACATGCCTTCATTGGCTTCACTGTGTAAGCTCATTATGTAGAGTGTCACGCAGGCATGACCTCTTTGGTAAGGACGATCTGAGTAAGGAACCACTTAAAAGTGTTCCTCACATGATTATATCCAATACTGATCAGAGACTCAGAGAAAACATGTGTAAATTTGAACTGTTCTCCCAACTGGATGGAAAAATATATGCTTGATGCTTTCACTAGGTTCAATATTCTGCCCTTTATATAGTGTCGCCCCTTTTAAAGCATCACTACTTTTGATATAATAGATCAGCCCATTGAGATGTTCATTTTTTCCCTTTTCTTGCTTGTTTGCTGTGATGACTGAGTTTTCTTGCTTGTTTGCTGTGATGATTCCTACATGGACGGTATCTGAGTGAGGAACTACTTGAAAGAGTGTTCCTCACATGATTACATCCAAAACTGATCAAAGATTCTGAGCAAACGTGTGTAGATCTGAATTGAATAGCATGTAACATCCTTGTTGTGCTCCTGGTGCAAACAGCAAGATACTGTCATTTTTTTTACTGTTTTTCCTAACTCAAAAGACTGTTTCTGTTCCTTATATGGTGTCACCCTATTTAAACACGCCTACTCCTAAAGTTAACAGATAAAAGTTTTCAGAAATTTAGTTTTTCCATCATGTTTTTGTTGCTCATATAGTTTCACCCTTTTTAACCATGACACATATTGTGGCTAATATAAAAAAAAGGGATAATAATAAACCAATTGAGATTTTTGCTTTGCCTTTTCTTTTCTTGCTTGTTTGCTGTGATGATTCCTACATGGACGGTATCTTAGTAAGGAACCACTTGAAAAGGTGGTCCTCACGTGATTACATCCAAAACTGATCAGAGATTCTGAGCAAACATGTGAATAGAATAGCAAGTAGCATGCTAGTCATGCTCCTGGTGCAAAATCATGTCAATGTTTGGACTGTTTTTCCCAACTTGAAAAAATAATATATGCTTCGTTGCATTCACTGTGTTCCTGTTCCTTGTATAGTTTCACCCTTTATGAGCACAACCTTGAATGGATATGCGTATTTAGCCTGTTAGCCTTGTTAGTTTGCTCTAATGACTCCTATAAGGATGGTATCTGAGTGAGGTTGCTCTTAACCACTCCTTTGTTGATTACATCCAGAACTGAAATATTCGGGGCAAGCATGAAAGTAACATTTTCCTTATTCTGATGTTCTCTTTTTTTCCTTCTGTTTTTGTTAGAAATTTCTGGTCACACTGTTTATCTCCTGTATCAACAGAGCATATATTTAATTAAGTCTATCGCCACTTTCTCATCTGTTCTCATTCTCTTTAGGACAATTGATGACTTCTGAAATAAAGCACGGTGGAAAGCTATCCTGTAGCGGCATGGATTCTGATGGCCCCCATACTTCACTTATACATGGTCTTCCTGATGAGATTGCTATTCTTTGCTTAGCGAGAGTTCCACGGCGATATCATAATGCTCTCAGGTGTGTCTCAAAGAGATGGAGGGCACTGCTTTCCAGTGAAGAGTGGCACTCTTGCCGCAAGAGGAACAATTTGGATGAGCCTTGGGTATATGTGATTTGTAGGAGTACGGGCATCAAATGCTATGTACTTGCTCCTGATCCTACAACCCGCTCCTTGAAAATTATGCAAGTCATCGAACCCCCATGCTCGTCTAGGGAAGGCATTTCCATTGAGACCTTAGACAAGAGATTATTTCTTTTGGGTGGTTGTAGCTGGCTAAAAGATGCTAATGATGAAGTATTTTGTTATGATGCCTCATCAAATTGCTGGAGCAGTGTAGCTCCAATGCCTACTGCTAGGTAAATATGATGACAAAGTTTACTTACTGGCCATTAACATTTTTTTTCACGTGAAGCTGTTTTATGACATCTGCACGCATTTTGACTTGCCTCAATTGTTTTCAGGTGCTATTTTGTTTCTGCAGCTCTGGACAAGAAACTATACATTACTGGTGGACTAGGTTTGACAGACAAGTCGCCAAATTCATGGGACATCTATGATCCAGTCACAAACTCTTGGTGTGTGCACAAGAATCCAATGCTCACCCCTGACATTGTAAAATTCGTGGCATTGGATGGGGAGTTGGTAACTGTTCACAAGGCTGCCTGGAACAGAATGTACTTTGCAGGTATATATGATCCATTGTGCCGCACTTGGAGGGGCACTGAGAATGAAATTGCCCTATGTTGGTCTGGATCAACAGTCGTCATGGACGGAACGCTCTACATGCTGGAGCAGTCGCTCGGCACAAAGCTGATGATGTGGCAGAAGGAGACGAAGGAGTGGATCATGCTTGGTAGGCTGTCTGACAAGCTTACAAGGCCTCCTTGTGAGCTCGTAGGCATTGGGAGAAAGATTTACATTATTGGAAGAGGGCTGAGTATAGTGACAATTGACCTGGATACTGTCAGGGCAGATGGATTCTTGGTGTCCTCTTCCACAGGCCCATTGGTGGAGCATGACTTCCCACCTGAGAGATGCCGGGTTATCAGCATCTGAAGGCATCAGCTTAACTGTATATTGTCCGGAGAAAATGTCACACATGTGAAGGTGACATGGGTTGATTGATGCACATATGAAATAAGGCAATCCTCCAGGCATTGTTTACTCGAGAGAGTGCCCGTTGCTAATTGGTGTTTAATTGTTTGTAGTATTTTTGCTGTATCTCCGACTTGTGCCCGTTTGCTGTAACAAACGAAGTCTGAGGTTCAGTTGTTTATTTCACACCTATACATATTGAGATAATAACTTGTTCATAATTCACGAGTGTGATGCGTCCTGTGATTGTTATGTGTGATTGTTCATTTTTCTTGCATGCTGATGGTGTATCTAGGCATTCTATTGCTGATATGTTCTGAATTTTTCCTGAATGAGTTAGGCTGTGTTTAGTTCTATTTAAACTTCTAACTTTTTCATCACATCAAATGTTTAGACATACGTGGAGCATTAAATATGGACGAAAAAAAAACAATTGCATAATTTGCATGTAAATTGCGAGATGAATCTTTTAAGCCTAATTACGTTATGATTTGATAATATGGTGTTATAGTAAATATTTGCTAATGATGGATTAATTAGGCTTCAAATGTGTGTTCATACGCTCAAAATTATTTTGCTAAAACAACTAAACACGGCCCTTTAGTTTACAGATAAAATTGAAGTAGCTAAGTTCTGACTTATCTTTGAGCCATATAAGATTTGTGATTGAAATTTTATAAATTAGCCTGTGACGAAACATTGATTTTTTAAAAAAATAAGAAAATGATAGTGGGATGAAAATTTTAAAACTTAGCCATTTAAGTGATGAAATTGAATAAGAAAATGATAGCGGGATTGAAATTTTAAAAATTAGCCATTTAAGTGATGAAATTGATGTTTTTTAAAATAAAATAAAAAATAATTATCAGAGCCAGGTTTCGATCCTGGGACCTGTGGGTTATGGGCCCACCACGCTTCCGCTGCGCCACTCTGATGTTGTTGTTTTGGTTAAAAACTGTCAACTAAAATACAATACGAATGCTGTCTTTTTCCAGGTCCACGCAGAAGAAATATAGAGGTAGGAATATGGTGCCACTGCCAATCTGCCGTGGACCAACAAAAGACTGGGTTGGGTAATTATGGTTGCCTACCCATTTGCATTGACAGTGACATAGGGAGGAAATATATACTTCCTCCATCCCAAAATGTACGACGCCGTTAACTTTTTTTAAAATGTTTGACTGCTTGTCTTATTAAAAAAAATTAAGTAACTATTAATTTTTTTTCCAATCATTTGATTTATTGTTATGTATACATATAGTTTTACACATTTCACAAAAGTTTTTGAATAAGACAAACGGTCAAACATATTTAAAAAAGTCAACAGCGTTAAACATTTAAAGAATGAGGGAGTAATTCACATGCTCACAGCAGCATTGGTAAAAGGTAATGGTTTGGCCATCCGCATCAACCACCCGTGCTAGTAATCTTCACGCTAATTAACTGCACAGCAACTTCTGTTTCTTCTCTTATTTTTTTTTTGTTTAAATTTTCTTTCAGTTCTTCTGTCCAACGTCCAAAAGTCCAAACATGCCAAACTCTTCAACGCACATACGTACATTCCTGCCTAAGTAGCTGTTAAACTGTAGCCGTATGCCTCCATGTGTGTCGATGTAGGGTTTACCTTACCGCCGGTAACCGTGTGGTTACCGTGGTTACCGGCCTTACCGCGAGGTACGGTAATACAATACCACGGTAACCTCCTTAAATTTAAATAAATTTAAAAAATAATTTAAATTTTTAATAAATTTTGTACGGTTTTTTACTGTTACCGCGCGGCGCCGGTTTAGGAAACCCTTGTCATCCACATAGATGCACACATTAGTAGTACTACTAGTCTTCTCGTCGTGGATGCTTGTTCCATTTGATCACTCGTTCACTCACGTCTCACGTTTATATCGGGGACGGATAGCTACACACATCAAACTAATTCATTTGCTTCTCTCTCAAACAAAAAGAACTAGTAATTCATTTCATTTGCTCTCACTAATTGCCCCGACACTCCGAAAACGTTGCGACGAACGCCCGTACGTCTTGACCAAATCCAAACGAACAACGATCCAGCACCAAAACCTCATGAATAATCCAATCCACCATTTATCTTCATGCGTGCCATTCTTGACCCAAATTTGATTACAACTCGATGCAATTTTTTCTCATGTTTCGCGCCGCCTGTCACGCGTTACCTGCGTTCCCATACCGCCAGTATAAATACAACTTCTCGAATCTTTTCTTGGAGAAAATTAGTACTTCCTTTTCCTTTTTTTACAATATAAGTCATTCTAGCATTTCTCACATTAATATTAATGTGAGAAATGCTAGAATGACTTATATCGTGAAACGGATGGAGTAGTGATCAAATGTAACAGTGGCTGAAAGTTTTTAACCAATTAAATCGGAGTCTTGTGAGGTCTGAAATGTGCGTGATTAATCAGTCTTGTGGCGGCAACTTTAGTTTAACCCAAGTCCAATTCGGATCGCGTAATTGACAAGCTCGTAATCCGAGTCGGATTCGATGGCTTTTTTTGCAGAAGGGGTATAAACAGAGGAGAAGCTCGACGTCGCCATCGATGGCCGCGGTGGTGCAGACGAAGCAGCTCAACAAACAGACCAACCCTTCTCCATCGCCCTACTAGAAGCGTGAAGAGCTCGGCCTCGCCGGCGACTGCGAGCGACATGGCGGCGGCGGCGGCGGCGGGGAGGAGGAGGTTCTTTCCGCCGGTGACGGCGTACGACGCGGCGGCGGGCGCGAGGCGGACGGTGGCGGCGGACCTCGACGGGACGCTGCTGGTGTCGTCGTCGGCGTTCCCGTACTACTTCCTTGTGGCTCTCGAGGCCGGCAGCTACCTCCGCGCGCTGGCGCTGCTGCTCGCCGCGCCGTGGCTCCTCGCGCTCTACGTCGGCGTCTCCGAGGCCGCCGCCATCGCCCTGCTCGTGTTCATCACGTTCGCCGGGCTGCGCGTCCGCGACGTCGAGGCCGTGGCGCGCGCCGTGCTGCCGCGCCACTACGCCGCCGGGGTGCGCGCCGACACGTGGGCGGTGTTCCACGGCTGCGCCGAGCGCCGCGTCGTGGTCACCGCGTCGCCGGCCGTCATGGTGGGGGAGTTCGTGCGCGAGTTCCTCGGCGCCGAGGTGGCCGGCACCGAGCTCGAGACGTTCGCCTCCGGCAAGCGGTTCACCGGCCGCATCAAGGCCGTCCTCGTCGGCGAGAAGAAGCGCGAGGTCGTCGAGAGGCTCTTCGCCGGCGGCGACATGCCCGACGTCGGCCTCGGCGACCGCGAGAGCGACCACGACTTCATGGCCATCTGCAAGGTACACTTCATGGCCTACGATCCAAAGCTCGAAATTTTCATCATTTCTTGAATTGAATCAATCACACATGAACAAAATTGAAGTTTTGCATCATGTGGCCACTAATAATTTAACAATTCATTTAGAACGCCAAAAATAAAAAAAGAAAATATTGTGAAATTAATTGTGGTAGGAATTGCACGCTCGATTGTTCTTCGAGTGTTCATGGCTTCGATCCGATTGGCTCATTTGTGGTAGCACGAGTAGCAAGAATATGTACGCTTCTTAGCTTTTTGCCTTTTTTTTTTGTTGAATTGCCTTTTTTTCCCCTCTTTTCATAGGAAAGATCAAGAAGGCTCTAGAATTTACATTATGGTTATGCAAAACTTGTGGCCAAAACTCAATACTGTTGGTACCATCACCTCCTTTAGTAGGCAGTTAGCAGTTGCTTCCTATTTATTTCGTCCTTTTTAAAACCAAAACCCCAAATTAGTATGTACTCCTATATTCAAATATTGTTTGCTCATGCTGACTTGTTATAGTAATATCATTATCATTGATCACTTTACTCATATAGTATTGTTTTCTTTGCATCAATTAATGTGGATTTAGTACTCTCTCCATTTGCATTTACTCTGAATATTGACTCTACTGTTTCAACTTTGACCACTAGCAATTTTTAATTGGTTAGACTATCATAAACTAAAATTTCATGCTTACATTCAGAATGCAACCTAGCCCATCATCAATATTTGTTTTTATTTAACGAAAAAAAAAGAAGACAAGTGTTCAAAATGTACATATGAATATACTCCAAAGCCAGATATTTGTAAAAATTAGGCCTTGTTTAGATTTAACTTTTTTCTTTAAACTTTTAACTTTTCTGTCACATCGAATTTTTCTACATACACAAACTTCCAACTTTTCTGTTACACCGTTCCAATTTCTCCGAACTTTCAATTTTGATGTGAAACTAAACACAGCCTTAGTGTGCTAACTCTGTTTTGGCGCCAAATTGCCAATGCGCAGGAAGCCTACATGGTGCCCAAGAACAAGCGCGCGCCGCGCGCCGCCGCCGACGAGCTGCTGTCGCGCGCCATCTTCCACGACGGCCGCCTCGTCCGCCGCCCGGAGCCAGCGAGCGCGCTGTTCGCGCTGGCCTACCTCCCCGTGGGCTTCGCCGTGGCGCTCCTCCGCGTGTTCCTCAACCTCCCCGTCCCGGCGCGCCTCGTCCGCCACACCTACCGCCTCACCGGCATCCGCCTCGCCGTGCGCGGGGCGCCGCCGCCGCCGCCGCGCCCGGGGACGCCGGGCTCCCTCCTGGTGTGCAACCACCGCACCGCGCTGGACCCCATCATCGTGTCCATCGCGCTGGGCCGCCCCGTGACGTGCGTGACGTACAGCGTTAGCCGGCTGTCGACGGCGATCTCGCCGATCCGCGCGGCGGCGCTGACGCGGGACCGCGCGGCGGACGCGGCGCGCATCGCGGCGCTGCTGGAGGAGGGGGACGTGGTGGTGTGCCCGGAGGGGACGACGTGCCGGGAGCCGTACCTGCTGCGGTTCTCGGCGCTGTTCGCGGAGCTGACGGCGAGGATCGTGCCGGTGGCGGTGGAGGCGAGGCAGGGGACGTACTATGGGTCGACGGCGAGGGGGTGGAAGTTCCTGGACCCTTACTTCTTCTACATGAACCCGCGGCCGGGGTACGAGGTGACGTTCCTGCCGGCGCTGAGGCCGGAGGAGACGTGCGTCGCCGGCGGGAGGAGCGCGGTGGAGGTGGCGAACCACGTGCAGAGGGTGATCGCCAAGGAGCTAGGGTTCCAATGCACCACGCTCACCAGGAAGGACAAGTACATGAAGCTCGCCGGCAACGACGGCCGGGTCGCCGCCGCCGCCGACAAGCCCAAGGCCAATTGATTAGTCCATCCATCTTTCTAAAGATGGCAGGCCACCTACCAGCTGATTAGGCCACTTGGCGCCCCTAAGTTGGTATATAAATCTAATGTCATTTGAGAAAAAGAAAAGAGAAAAAAAAGCGGCTGTCATACAACGGAATCCCGTTTTCGAATGGGATGATACCGGTTAGTTATCAGGTTTTGATACTTAACCTGTATTATGCGTTTCTACCACGTATCAGGTAATACTTGCGAGGTATTAGATGATATCTATCAGGTATCATACGATTCTTATCACGTAGAGGGTGATACTTGTGAGATATCAGGTTCTGATACCTAACCAGTATCAGGAGATACCTATCAGGTATCATGCGATTCTACCACGTATCAGGTGATACTTGTGAAGTATCAGATGGTATCTATAAGGTATGATGCGATTCTTACCACTTAGAGGATGATACTTTTAAGGTATCAGGTCCTGATACCTAACCGGTATCGGGTGATACCTATCAGGTATCATGCGATTCTTACCACGTAAAAGGTGATACTTGTGAGGTATCAGACGTTACCTACTAGATATCAGGAGCCGAGCATCAAAGCGTCGTCGCCGGTGGTCCCACCGTCCACGTCCCACGCCGGAGCTCGTCGCCGGCGGCCACATCCTTCATCGTCCGCGCCACGTCGGAACTCATCGCCGGCGGCCGCGTCCTCCATCTCCACGCCCCACGCCGGAGCTTGTCGCTGACGACCGCATCCTCCACCGTCCACGCCACATTGGAGCTCGTCGCCGGCGGCCGCGTCCTTCGTCATCCACGTCCCACGACGGAGCTCGTCGGCGATGGCTGTATCCTCCATCGTCCATGCCACGTCGGAGCTTGTCGCTGGTGGCCGCGTCCTCTGCCTAGCCAAGTATGTGCTCGTCGTGCTCCGCACCGACGGCGGCAGCGAGGGCAGCACCTTCGCGATCTACTTCCTCATCCACCGGCGAGGAGCTCGCGGTCGCGGGGCAGTGTGTCGACAGGGCGGGCGTGGGCGCCGCAACACTACTGCCCATGTCAACCATGCGTGCGCACTGGAGCGGCTCCTGTAGAGGCTGCTGCTGCTCAGGACGTGCATGGTCAGGTATCGCTCCTCTTTGAATAAGCAAGGAGACAAAAAGGATCCCGTCCGGACGGAATTCCGGTATCTAGCATTCCAAAAAAAAGGGGCCATGACAACAGTAACATCTGGAGGATTCCAAGTAACAAACACTCTCATTTCTTTGCACTGCTTCAACAACAACATATTCTAATTAAGTTCTCAGCTGAAGCAGATAATCGATATATGAGAAAAAAAAAACTGGCAGCCCAAAGGCCACCAAAACTCAGCATGCAAGGGAAAAGGGAAAACAAAATATTTAGCTTGTGCAATGGATCTCCCATTAGAGGACAAGCAAATCAGAAAAATAATTAAAAAAAGGTCAATTTGATGGTTTTTGAAAAATGATATTTTGCTATTACAATTTTCATAATAGTTTGATACATGCCACTAGTTTATATTTTTACCCGTACCCCAAAAAATGTATTTTATGCAGACCTATTGAAAACTCTCATATTACTATGAGAACTGATATGGATCCCATTATATTTTCTTTTTGTGACTGTAATTACAAGTAAGTGCCACGCCAAACGAAAACTAGGTCAACGTGCCATGTAGATGCCACATAGGATGAAATCACCGTTCAAACAGCCGAGAAACTTGATTTGTACTGGTTTTGATAGTTGAGGGATTTTACCTGGTTTTATGGTTGAGCGGTGTAAATGTAACTCACCATAATTGAGAGACCTAAAGTAGACTTTTTCCTTGGAAAATATGGCCTGGAAAAGGATTGCGGCGTCTGTGCGTCCATATTAGATGGGCCTGATTGGTCGCTGCGGATGATATTTGGACAGACAGAATTCTTCAGTACTCACAAGCTAACGCCGGTATTGCAACCCCACAAATAAACATCCAAAAATTTCATAACACAATATCCTCTCAAAGAAAATGAAATCTTTAACACAATTGGTGATTACGTGACGCAAGTACGCAACGAGCAATCACGAACTGGCGTTGACGAGTCGTAGGCTGGAATGCTGCTGATCTCAAATTAAGCAGGCAGAGGCAGCTTGCTGATCTACATTTTTTCGGCGATACCTAACACCTTAATCTTCAGGCCATATCTCCAGCTAACTGTCTATTAATTTGTTCGTTAATTAGTACTCCTGCTGTAGTATGCTAGTAGCAAAAGCGAAGCAACGACGAGCTGCAAAGCAACCTGCAACTTGCAAGCCTCTCTGCAATTCTTGCGACCCAAACCAATACTGACACTACTACTAATACTGATCGATGATGCGTCAAGGCTCGTGAGGCTGCTGCGTGCAAGGAACTCGTCGTCGATATAATTATTGCTGCAATGATCCCTGAGCAATGTGCTCCCAAAATCTTAGGACTGATTCTGACAGATTCAGTCGTAATCAGCAATGCGTGTTGCAATCTTACTCCTGTGTAGTAACAATTAGTGCAGATACTGCATGCGTGTTACTGTCGATTACATTAGCAGATAAACAGCCTCTCCATCATGTCAACTGCATGCCTTCTGAAACAATTGATGTGATGTACTTTTTACATGAACGAATTCCTGAATTCCTGATACTGTCAACTGTCAAGCATTGTGGCCTGATGCTAATGCTGCGAAAAGTTTTATGATACTACTAGGGTTGTGTTTAGATCCAAACTTTCAACTTTTTCCATCACATCAACCTGTCATACACACATAACTTTTCAGTCACATCGTACTAATTTCAACCCAAATTTCTAACTTTAGAAGGAACTAAACACAGCCTAGCTTCTCTAGCACAGCAGCATGTTCACTTCTTAATTAGTGGCATCTGAACCATGTGATTTTTGAAAGTGAAACTATTATTAACTGATCGAGTTGCCGAGATAAGGACAGCTCCATGTTAAGGTGGGGCATCACATTCTCCAGCCTTTCAAGCAACCCCAAACCATGCCGAAAACACACATCTTCTACAATTTGTGAGATTAAATGTCAGGGAACCGAAATTCAGTCATGCAGATGTGGATTCAGCCACATTTTACGGATCTGAAACTACTGCGACTGATATGTCAGCACTCTTTGTTTTCGTACTAGCCTGCACAAACCTCTTTTTAAGTTAATTCAGTCGGTACCAGATGTCAGAAAAGTTCCTTTGAATTAAATCTCAAGATGTCACCAGCCAACAGACCAAACTGATCTTCTTTGTATTTTTCGACTTGGGCAAATGTTTGCCCATGCAATGCCATCAAAACTGAGCCGCAAATTCAGTTGGTCAAGCTGAATTCTGTTACTAATTCTGTTCCGATTTCCACTCGAGCAGAGAAATAGAACCGTAAGTAGTAGTACAATACGAATTTAAGCGGAATCAGCTCAGATTCCACACGAGGACAAATTCGTATTCGAGCTCGAAAAGGCAAAAAGAAACCAAAAACAGAAAAAAAAAAGAAAAGGAATCCGGCTGTGCTTGGATTGCATTGGAAGCAAAGTTCGTTTAAAAAAAAAAACTAAAACTAATAAACCAGTCCGTTTCAAACACCAAAACCGCGAACGCTATAAATTCGGAGGGAAAACCTCTCCGAATCTCCAAACTCCTCCAATGGCGACCGCGCGCGTCTCCCTCATCCTCCTCGTCGTCGTCCTCGCCGCCTCCGCCTGCGCGGAGGGGCTCCGGCTGCCCCGCGACGCCAAGTTCCCCGCGGCGCAGGCCGAGCGGCTCATCCGCTCGCTCAACCTGCTGCCCAAGGAGGCCGGGCCAACCGGCGCCGGGGATGTCCCCAGCGTGGCGCCCGGCGAGCTGCTTGAGCGGCGGGTCACGCTGCCCGGGCTCCCCCAGGGGGTCGGCGACCTCGGCCACCACGCCGGCTACTACCGCCTCCCCAACACGCACGACGCGAGGTAGATTTCGAATTTCGAACCCCAAATTAGTTGTAAAGTAGTACAAAGTTCTTGCTCTCTCTTTTTTTTTTCTTTTGGAAATTTTGGGTTGAGTGTTTGTTTGTTGGATGGATTGGGGCGTTGCTTGCAGGATGTTCTACTTCTTGTTCGAATCGAGGGGGAAGAAGGAGGATCCCGTCGTGATCTGGCTCACCGGAGGCCCCGGATGCAGCAGCGAGCTGGCCGTCTTCTACGAGAATGGCCCGTTCACCATCTCGAACAACATGTCGCTTGCTTGGAACAAATTCGGCTGGGACACGGTAACGATCCATCGATTCGATAATACGTTATTGATTGCATCATATGTTTAGTTTCCTTAGTATGGTAACGACTCAGACTTGGTCATAATATTAACTTGTTAATGTTGCATCATCGCTTGCAAGCAATCTTGTGGTGAGAGCAACATGAAAAAACTATTTTGACCATTGTTGACTGAATGACTAGCTTGGTTAAGCAAGCAATAGTGAAAATAATGTCCGTTTCAGAGTTTCTCCCGGTTGAAGTCAGTAACTGTTGAAGGGGGAAAAAATTATTGTCTAGAATATCATCCTTGCTATCCTCCGTTACCAAATTTGGATAACTGTTACCAACTTACTATATTGTGTTCCTCACTTTGCCTTTTAGTGTCTTATTAGTTGAAGAAAACCATCTGGGGCTAGAACTTCATTGTTGCTATCTGTTAGGTTGTTACCAACTTACCATATGTGTTCCATTTGACTATCATCTCTTATGCCACCACAATAGTCTTTGTTAAGTTTTATTGCTTTTTACATGAACTGATGCACGACAGCAGAAGTTTACGAGTTTATTGAGGACAATGTTTCCCTACATAGTATTGTTCGTTATTGGTGAACATTAATTCCTACTATGATTTTTTAGACCTTTCCAACTAGTTTCATGATGAGTTTAACAATGGCAGTGGTCATTGCTGCAGTCAGTTCACATCTTACAATGATCAAGCCTACACACCTTTTGGTTCCTTTGTATCCACCCCTTCTGATAAAACTTTCTTCATGCAGATTTCAAATATAATTTTTGTTGATCAACCCACTGGAACTGGATTTAGCTATAGCTCTGATGATCGTGATACTCGTCATGATGAGACAGGCGTCAGCAATGACCTATATAGCTTTCTTCAGGTACTACTCTCAACCCTTGTAACTGACGTGCTTGCCTTTTTCTCTTTGTTTCATCAATTCCATGTGATATCTGATTACACTATATAGGCTTGTTCAATCCATTCCTTTACAATACTAAATACTAATAAAGAAACATAAATGATCTCCAATGTAAAGTAATCATAGCAATATGTTTGTTTTAAAACTGCAGGCTCTGCTCTTAATAATAGTTCCATTTCACAAAATAATTATTTGCATACTCTACTTGACTAAGTAACTAACAGTCAACAGTCTGGTGTGCCTAATTATTGCTTTCATCCTCAATTTGTGGAGTGGTTCTCTTACCTGATATGATGCTCCTGTAAAATTAATTGCTACAATACCATAGGAAATTTCCAGGTTGGAATTTGGCATTGCTTACATGAAAGGATGTACCTAACATATTTGACTGGATAGCTTCATTAAATTAGCGGTAGTAGATAACTTCCGAAGATTTAGCACCAAACCAGATAATATGCACGGATCTCTCTAAAGAGTTGTGTATTGATCTGAGAGTTGATTATTTTGTGTTGTTGACTTCAGCAAAAATGTAGAGTAATATGTAGTATTTGCTTGATTCCCATGTCAGGTGTTCTTTAAGAAGCATCCAGAGTTTGCAAAGAATGACTTCTTTATAACCGGAGAATCTTATGCTGGGCACTACATTCCAGCATTCGCAAGCCGGGTTCACCAAGGAAACAAAGCAAACGAGGGCATTCACATAAACTTGAAGGTATGATCCTTACCCAAGTTTGCCATATCTTTTAACTTAATTGCTTCTTTGCTATTTTACACAGTTTTACCTATTTTTCTTGTAGGGTTTTGCGATCGGTAATGGCCTCACGGATCCAGCAATCCAGTACAAAGCTTACACCGATTATGCATTGGACATGAACCTTATTAAAAAATCAGATTACGACAGGATCAACAAGTTCATCCCACCATGTGAATTTGCAATAAAGCTTTGTGGTCAGTACCATATTCTACCTTTGAGCAAACCACATATATCTAACTGCATTGAACTTCCTGAATGATTAATGCTGGCAGAAAAGGTTGAAAAACCATTTAGGGTATAAATGGGGTTCATTACAGTTCTCTATATTTCAGCTATGAGATAGTGCATTTGTAATAACACCCTAAGGTTTCTTCAAATAATGAGAACTGTTACTCACACCTACTGATTTTTCAGGTACCAATGGGAAAGCATCTTGCATGGCAGCATACATGGTCTGCAATTCTATTTTCAGCTCCATCATGAAGCTTGTTGGGACAAAGAATGTAAGCAATGGTCACTTGCTTAACTGACTGCATAACATTGGTTCACTAAGGCTGAAAACCGTTACATATTAATTCTTCTTTACAGTACTATGACGTTAGGAAGGAATGCGAAGGGAAACTTTGCTATGATTTCTCAAACTTGGAGAAGTTTTTTGGAGATAAAGCAGTCAAAGAAGCAATTGGAGTTGGCGACCTTGAATTTGTCTCATGCAGCACTACTGTTTATCAAGCAATGCTGACAGACTGGATGAGAAACTTGGAAGTTGGCATCCCAGCTCTACTTGAGGATGGGATCAATGTGCTTATATATGCTGGAGAGTATGATCTTATATGCAATTGGCTTGGTAAGGATACATTTGGTTAATGCTTTTTCAAGTCAGTTTTGCACCTTTTGTTCCACCGACAATTGTAACTACTGCAATGCCTTGCATGGAAAATAATAACGCATAGCCCTGCAATTTGTTAATAGGATACAAAACGTTAAATTTCTGCTGATGCTATAGTTTAGTTAAGAGTGATTTTACAATCCTTAAGGAGGTACAGGGAGGTACCATATTTTCTATTGTAAAATTTGGTATTTCTCGATACCTTTGGTACTAGAAGGTATCAAAATTTCCACTAAAAACGTACCTCTCAAGGACTGTAAAATTACTCTTTAGTTACAGGTGCATGACCATTACTAACAGTAAATTACAGTTGCATAGCTGTAGAGCTGGTACCACTGGAGTGTAGTAAATTCCACAGTTAAATCAATCGACGTTTAAATGGGTACTAGTAACAGAGGCAGGCTACATGCCAATCTGTTCTTGTTTGTGTTTCCATTACTATAGTTAGCACGTTTGGTATGGCATCTAGATTTCCATAACTATAGTTAGCACGTTTGGTATGCATTTTACTGTGCTGTTTGCTACCAGTTAGATTACTGCTACTCCAGACAAGTTTTGTTGTTGACTTGTTTTGGGTTGGTTTGCTACTACTGGATCACCTTGGGACAATATATAAGAGGGAGCTTTATAAAATCCTAATTGATCTAACATCTCAAACTTTATAGCACTTCTATTTGATAGATTTGTGACATTGTCTTGCATGTCCATTGCCAAAATCTTTAATGATTGTGCAGTTATTGTATCAAGTGTAACCTTTTCTATGTATGTAGGAAACTCGAGGTGGGTCCACTCGATGGAATGGTCTGGCCAGAAAGACTTTGTATCATCTCATGAATCGCCATTTGTAGTAGATGGTGCCGAAGCTGGTGTTTTGAAGAGCCACGGGCCACTCAGCTTCCTCAAGGTTTTTATCAAACACTTTTACCTAATTAATTTTCTTATGATTTATTCTCCATATTTTTTTTAAAAAAAAACTAATTTGGTGCAAACTTAGAATGCGCTATATATTTTTATGGCGTGGATGGAAAATTTGTGGTCATCACGAAAGTACGAAACATCTGGTTTATGGCAGTGTTGTTACCACTAAGAAACAAATATTAGTGTACTTGCCAGAAGAATGTGACCAGATGGTCTAATATAGACTAACCATAACCATATTCTGGCATGAAAGGACCACTCAACCTGGTTAATTCTGCTTATCTAATGTTTACAAGGAATTATATTAGAATCCTCGTGCACCTATGGATCAAGAAACCTTACTAAATAATCGACAATAAATCGTTGCTTCTATGCTAATGCAGGTCCACAATGCTGGTCACATGGTTCCAATGGACCAACCCAAAGCTTCCCTGGAAATGCTGAGGAGATTTACTCAAGGGAAACTCAAGGAGGAATGGCTTGCCGAGCTTCCTGAGCAACCGATGTATGCTGCGATGTGATAAAAATACAACTGAAATAGTCTAATAGGTAGTTTGAGTTGCCGTTTCACGGAGTGCCTGAAGCTTCATGTTTCCTTTTTTACCCTCTTTCTTTTTCCCAATGTATCAACTGAATGCATAATTCTGAAAATAACGTTGGAACCGCGATGTAACTAAAGTTCCACTCATGTACACTGCAAATGAAAAATCAAATACATGGAGGGGAAATGTTTCAAAGGCCTGTCTGCTGTTAATCATCCCATGCATGCAATTTTCTTATATTAAAAGAGAATAATGTGACATTTTCTGGGACTTACACGCACAAATAGCTGTTCAATCCGCACGCTTCTTGACTAGCGTCACATGCACAAAAAGCAAATCACTTTTTCCCCCCAAAAAAAAAGTGCTGATCAATGTTGAGATGCATAATTTTCATCATCAGAAATTAAAAGGAGTGGTCCTTAGATTTGCCCTGCCGTTTGCAAACACGGTGTCCTTCTCCTACTCGCAAGTTCAGATATATTTTAAAGGGATATGTTACAGATCTTCAGGAACTACAGATCACATTCACCAGCCAACAACAAGCAATGCAAGACTAACCTAATTGAGTCATCACATGAATGAAAAGATTGGGTTTTTTTTTCCTGAAGCTTTTGAGGTGTCACAGCATGTTTTCCCTGCATAAAGGTGTCCCTAAGTGTGTAATTTAGTGATGTGAGGAGTTGTGTGTTGTGACCACAAGGTTAAATAAATGCATATCCTGCATCTCCAGCTAGGTAGTTACAGATGCAAGACAGAAAAGGTTGCCAAATGTTATGCCAAGAGAGACAAAATATGAAAGCTAGATCAATTGTTGCGTATGTACCTATACTGTAGTTTAAACTTTCCTAGATCTATGAAGCTAAGGGTGCAAGCAACCAGCTTGGTACAACTGAAACATGAATCCAATTAATTACACCAAGAAAGCACACATAATTTGATTGACATAAAGGTATATGTAGCTAAAGTGACCTACATGGCATAACCACCTTGACAGGCTAACCATTTCAGACAGAACATAGAATGACCAGATTAGCATCAGCATGACAGATGAGATGGTGGCTGTCAGGGTCATGCATTGCAATGGCAGGGCACAAGAAACATCAGTGTGAAGGCAAAGGCAGCAGACAGACATGCTATGCGTGTATAACAGTATATGTAACCACCAAGGATTGAGATACTTTACTGGTCAGAATTCAGTAATGGATGGTGAGTGAGGAAGCTGTTTATGCAGTGGATTGCTGTCCTGTCTCCATGGAAGCCTGCAGGGTGTCCCCATGGACCATGGTGCACATGTGGAATGAGCACAAAATGTTGAAGGATAGTACTCAATCTGGGTTACTACTGATATTCTGTGTTTGCATATGTTTGTGCTTGATCTCTGATTTGTTTGTTTGTTTCAGTTTCCATAATATGCAGAGCATGTCATTGCATTTAAATATAGAAACATAGATTGAGTAAATTTATATTTACCTTCAAATGCAATTTTACAATGGATTTACCTCAAGCTAGTACTATATACAAGATGGCAGAGGTAATTAGGAGGATAATCCTGCAAAAATCCATGTAGGTGCAGGTCTTAAAAAAGAGAGATGCTGTACCTGTGATGTCTGTCCTTGAGGAAGATGAGTTGACACCATGTTTGATGCTCTGTACTCCTTGGCAGTGTTCTCTTCTCACTGTGTTTGTCCCCATGGTTCATTCAACCACTCTTATGATGAACAGGGGCAACTAAAGCTCACCTTGATCAGTACCCTTAAAAGCATCCTGTTTGGTGAGATTTCAGTCATGATTCATGAACATGGACTCTACTTGAACCTGAAAGATCGGAGTATCAGTTTCTGTATGTGGAGATGGCACAAAATTGCAGGCAGTTTACTGAGCTGAGATGACTTAGCCTAGCTTAGCAGATTCAGAGAGTTCAGTCTCTTAGCTCTATTCTGATAAAGCGTAAAAATATGAACGAAGCAACGGAAAAATAATTTATGGATAAAACTTTTATATCCGGATTATTTATGATTTTAAAAGCCAATGTTAAAAGTAGACCACTAAAAAGGACCCCCAAAATTAACTATACAATTATTAAGTTTCGAAATTCAAGAGGTTTTTCAGACTTTTGAGCTGTGGTAGACGGTAGACAGCAAAGCTGGGTCAGGTACAGTATTGTACTGTACTGATGATCAGGTTGTGATCTCCAACTCCAGCAGCTAGAGAGACAAGAAGACGACAGAAAAGTACACGAGCTCAACTCCATTTGCAGCAGCAGCAGCAGCAGAAGCACAGCTCACCACCTGTCTTTTTCCGATCCAATCGCCGCTATAAATTCAGCAGCCAATGCTGCCCGCCATGTGCAGCAGAACTCACTCACAGTCTCAGTCTCAGTCTCACTGCTTCAGCTCAGCTCTCCTCTCGTAGCTCGACGAGCTAGCTAGCCCAGCTACGACAATCATGGGGGACGCGGCGGCGGGCGGGAGGAAGGCGGCGGCGTCCGGCGGCGGCGCGCGGCTGCACGTGGCGATGCTGGCGCTGCAGCTCGGGTACGCCGGGTTCCACGTGGTGTCGCGGCTGGCGCTGGACATGGGCGTCAGCAAGCTCGTCTTCCCCGTCTACCGCAACCTCATCGCCCTCTTCCTCCTCGCCCCCTTCGCCTACTTCCTCGAGAAGTAATTAATCGATGCCTAATGCCGCTAATCCTGAATTCCTGATACGAATGATGAACTAGTTAATCAATCAATCAATCATGGATGCTTGCAGGAAGGAGAGGCCGGCCATGACGGCGAGCTTGGCGGTGCAGTTCTTCTTCCTGGCGCTGTGCGGGATCACCGCCAACCAGGGCTTCTACCTGCTGGGGCTCGAGAACACCTCGCCGACGTTCGCCTCCGCCATCCAGAACTCCGTCCCGGCCATCACCTTCGCCATGGCCGCCGCGCTCCGCATCGAGCGCGTCCGCCTCTCCTCCCGCGACGGCCTCGCCAAGGTCGCCGGCACGCTGCTCTGCGTCGCCGGCGCCTCCGTCATCACGCTCTTCAAGGGCCCCGCCATCTTCAACACCCACCACAACCACCAGCCGCAACCGCAACAGCTCGCCGTCGCCGTCGCCGCCGGCAACAAGAGCTGGACGCTGGGGTGCGTGTTCCTGCTGGGGCACTGCGTGTCGTGGTCGGGGTGGCTGGTGCTGCAGGCGCCGGTGCTGAAGCGCTACCCGGCGAGGCTGTCGGTGACGTCATACACCTGCTTCTTCGGCCTCATCCAGTTCCTCGCCATCGCCGCGTTCCTGGAGCGCGACGCCGCCGCCTGGGCCGTCCGCTCCGGCTCCGAGCTCTTCACCATCCTCTACGCCGGATTCGTCGCCTCGGGCGTCGCCTTCGCCGTGCAGACGTGGTGCATCCACCGCGGCGGCCCCGTGTTCGTGGCCGTCTACCAGCCCGTGCAAACCCTCCTCGTCGCCGTCATGGCTTCCCTCCTCCTCGGCGAGCAATTCCACCTCGGAGGGTATACCGATTAATCTCTCTTGATTAAGATTTTTTTTATTTTTTTAGACTTTTTATTTTTTTAATTTTATTAATAGACCTTTCTAAAAAAATTCCAAATCTAAACTTTTCGACTACGCCGCCCAAATAAATTTGTCACGCCAAGTACAGCTAGCGTGGCAGCGTTGTCCTGCCATGTCAGTTTGGCGTGGCAAAATAACGCTGCCACGCCTGGTTAAGAGGTTTAGTTTTCGGAATTTTTTTAAAAAAGATCTATTAATAGAATTTAAAAAAATTAAAAAGTCTAAAAAATAAATAAAAAAATCCAGGATCCAAGAACTAGTAAATGATTAGTGCTAATTGGATGGTTAATCTGTTCATGCAGGATCATTGGGGCGGTGCTGATAGTGGCAGGGCTGTACCTGGTGCTGTGGGGGAAGAGCCAGGAGAGAGCCATTGCTGCTGCAAAAGAAGCTTCTGCTGCTGCCGCCATTGCTGACCACCAGCAGCAACCAGCTTCTGCTGCTGCTGCTGATTCTTGCCTGAAGCAACCACTCCTGCCGGCGTCGACGGTGGCCTCAGAGAATGTGTGACCGACCAACCATTTTTTTTTTTTTGTTGATGCAGATGCATGCTGGCACTACATGTGGTTAGGCTAATTATGTATGATTCATTAATCAATTAAATCAACTTAATTTCCCTGTTCAAGTACTTGCAAGTTGCAACAACCTGCAGTATGTTAAAAGAATCAAAGTCGTTGTGCTATTACTGTGCTATACAACAGTTTGTCCAGAGGATTTTTACAGTCCAACGGTACCTTGCGGTATCGAATCTTGACTGTTGGATCCGGACAAATCTCCAATGGCCACATGGCCACAGAGATTGGTATCGCGGGGTACCAGTTTTGTCCCTGATGTGGTACCGTGTGATGATTGTAGGTGGAAGGGCAGTAATGTAATTTTGCGTGCCAATGCAAGACTGAACATAAACCCTAGAATGAGCTTTGCCTCTCCCACCGCCGCTGTCCTCTACCGCGGCGCCGCTGGAATTGTTCCTCTCCCGCGTCACTGTCGTTCCCTTGTTCCTCTCCCACGCCGCCAGACGCGGTGGAGAAGTAGGCCAGGGGCGGTAAGGCATCGGCTCCGACGATGTGCGGTGAGGCGGACGAGGGAGCTGTGTATGAGCACGAAAGGGAATTGCGTGCCCTCCCGCGCCTCGGCACACAAGCTCTACACATTCTTTTTCCCTATACTACCCCTTCGGAAATGGACGGCTAGATCTGTTTTGGTACCTACAGGTACAACTTGTTGGACTATAACAACGTTATCTCCCCCTTCGAATACAAAAGAACTCCCCCTTTAAACTTTCTATTTCCAGTTGTGAAAGATGCATTCTAAGTTCGACTACTAAATCTCTCACCTTCTGCTTGGATTGAATGAAGAGTTGGAAATATTTGGCTTTTCTATCTTAATTACAACACATTGATGGCTAGCTTCTTATAGCCATCCTAACTTTTTTGTACGGTACCCTTAACATAGGCATCATTGGGACTTAAGAATTTTTGGAAAACTTTTATGCATGGGAATTTAACTAATTTCTATGAAAATAACATAAGATATATACGTTCCAAAAGAGCCCAGCTTAGAGCAATATTGATGCAACAGAGCACCGACTGACAGATGTAGCTCAACTGTTCCTCCAAATCGAATGTCCAAGCATATCTCTTCCACTCTTTTTTTTTAATTACCATATATCCGGAAAGTTCTCTGTGGAGTGTGTATGTATAATATATCTTGGAACTTGCAACTAGGCAATTCTTGACACACTTACTTTCAAAATTAATTCAGATACACCTGAACTACAGGAAGAGAAATAGTACTAACACATATAGCAACCATGTCTGACGAAACTGAATAATACATAATCAGGTTGGAGCAACAAAAGATAAACCCCATGCATCCACACAAATCAGAGAATATATATATTTTTGAAGTGTATCAGAGAATATATTAAACAAAAGCAGAAAAGGCACAAGGTACTTATATTCATATATCTTTTTTTTTCAAAAAAGGAGAAGCACTAGCTAACCAATGGTGTTCCACTAAAAATAAAGCACGATCGAGAGAGAGGAGCAGGAGAGCATGGGGGGAAAAGCAAATCATTTTTCTGATGTTAATAAAAAAAGGAGTCGAGTGGAGTGAACTGTGAAGCATTTGTGGTGAGGATATCCATGGAAGATGCCAGTGGCAGCTATAGCTGCTGCCTCGCCACCGTTTCATTCCTCGAGTTTATCCCCCTGGGTCGAGCCGCCTCGCCACAATCCTTTCTTTCTCTATAAATTCATCATGCCATGGCTGCTAATGCTGCAGAATGGAGCTGAGAAGTAAATTCAGATCAGATTCAGAGAGAGCATGCAGCTGATTGCAATGTAGCTTCTTCCATCAGGGGGTGTGTACTGCTGATTCCTCATGCGTCGTCGGAGATCGAGAGGTGATGCATGCTGCGAACGGCGAGCGGCGGCGGCGGCGACAGGAGGTCGGCGGCGAGCTCCGGCGTGCTGGCTGGCATCCGGCGATCGACGACGGCGACCGAGGGAGGGAGGAAGCTATAGCTAGGATGGTCATCATGTGATTAATTCAGTGATGTGTCCTAATTAAGTAGCTTCTTGCTTGCTAGCAGGGCAATTTCAATCCTTTGGCATCTGTAACCTTTTTCTTTCTTTCTGAAGTAAACCTTAATAACCCAGCTATGTTCTCTTATGATGTTCTGAACAAATACAACAAATTAGGCATACAGATTCAGATACAATAGCACTTGAGTTTGTATCTAGTCGTTTGTCAAGAGCCAAGACACATTTCTTGAGCTATTTGTTCTCCAGCTATCATGCAATAAAAAGGTACTATGATCCTATCATTTTCAAACTTATGCTTACACTTATAAGTAAAAATTTGTATTTTAAAATTAATTTCGGGGTTTGGTTTTATGTTTTTTTTCTCATAGTTCATTTTATACTAGTATTTGCTTTTAAATTGCTAAGGACACGTATGTAAAAAAATACCTACAAATTACTTTTTAATTACTAATAAGACGTACGAATAAGCATAACCATAAACAAAACGCTGAGTCCAGTAGTATTTCAAACATGACACAACTGAGAAATTTGGAGGTTTTGTTTGAGGTGGTTTTTCAGATTAAGTCCATCAAATCAGATCGAGTTTTCAGTCAGGTTTGAAGTAGCCGATCCCAAAGTTCGTTCTTTTTCATCCGGTCACAGAAAAACATCAAGGGAACGAACTTGTTTCTGCACTGACTTTCAGGCAATATGTCATTAATCACAAAAAAGGAATACTGACAAAATAGGAGTACTCCAGTAACTGCATTTCTGATCCCGAGGATGAAGAGACAGCTACTACAGCTGACAAAAATAACTGCACGCATTCATCACTCTGCTGCTTGCTGTTGTTTTCTGTGGCAGCTAAACGCTACTGTAGATTTCCGTGATTCTCTCCTTGCAGAAAATACAAGTGCGAAATTAGGAATCGGATTATACCGGTCATTGGGGGTCAAGATACTCCATTTCAGAATTTCAGACAGAGACAAGTGTGACAGGTACTTAACCTCCAACTTCCAAATGCGACAATTTCCGTTAATCACCGGATCAAAGTTCCAAATGCGACAAACACTGGATCAAGTTCCAGCTACATCCAAATTTTTTTGAAACGACCGAGTGATCTAGAGTAGAGATAGAGAGATCAGTTTCAGTATGGGCATGTTTGTGCTCCTTAATTGCTTGCTCTATGTGAGTCTTCGCCAGTATCAGTCCTGGTAGTTGTAGCATCATCAACAGCAATGAGAAATTGATGCTAGTATGACATATCCACAGTTAACCATGTGTGTGACAAATTGCCATATTCCTTGCCAATCTACAGTCTGTTCTTCTATTTTCTAAATTTGTTTCATGACCACGTCCTATTTTTGCTAATCAAATACGGTTGATATTACTCAATTGTTCTAGAATTTTTTTCTTCAAAGCCCATGGTTAGATATTCCAATATATCACGATGCAGAGGTCGGAAGTGTGCTTTTGTTATCTAGAGAAAATGTTCCGATCTGTTCAATATGTTCTTGCTTCCTACCAAACCATATCTTCGATCGAAAGTTAATAATGGAAAATGGTTAAATTCCAGCTTGAAATGGAGATTTGGGAATCACAATTTTACAGCCTTGATTTAATTTTAACCAAACAGGATATATTCCAATTTGGGGATTACAATTCTATAGCCTTGATTTAATTTTAACCAAACATGGATATATTCCTTTCCTGTTGATACACAAACCCGAGTTAGTACACTCATATCATGCAAATATCATTAATATAAGGGGCCTAAACGAAAAAAATATCCCTACCCGTTTTTAGCTTAAAAGCCCACCTCCTCTTTCAAATTTACCATTCTTCCTCACACTCCAACCTCCTCCTGTCTCCTTCTCTCTCTCTTAAAAAAAAACGCGACGAATCCGACGGAAAAATCGGAGAGGAAAATCCGCGCCGCGAAACCAACCGAGGTGGTGGTGGTTAGGGTTTGACACTCTCACCGCCCCCGCCTCAACCGCGAGCGTCTCCGGCGGCGATCCCACGGGCCGCCGCGCGTCGGTGGGGGGCACCCGATCGACCTAGATCTCGCATGAGGGAGCCCCGAATCGGCCAGATCTAGGGAGCTCTTCGCGGACATGCAGCCCGGCGAGGCACCCCCCTCCTCCGGGGGCTCGCCGGCGACGTCGCCGCGGCCGCCGCCGGCGGTGGCGCAGGGGCAGCAGCAGCTAGGGTTTAGGAATCAGGTGAGTCTGGGCTCTCTCTGGTCTGCCCCACCATGGCGTTGGGATTCGAATTTTTTTTGTGTGGTTTGGGGGTTTGAGGTTTTCTCTACTGCGGCCTGCGCGCGACGTGATTGGTGGGGAACCGTGGGTTGTGGCCGTTGGGATTTGGGAAAAAATCCTGACGCGTGTGGCGAAAAGGCGGCGCTTTTTTACGCGCCCTTCCCTAAACAGTAAACCGCGAGCTTCGTCCTCTCCCACTCACTGGACTGCGAGGTGGTGGCTTTGCCTTGCCTCATGTGATTTTTGCCTGCCCTGTTTCTGATGCTTGTCCGGATGGTTCTAATTTCCGTGTAATTTTGGGTTTGGAACCGTCTGTGTGTCTGATTTGGGTTGAGGTTTTGGGGGGCATTTTGGTTTCGTTCTGTCTCTCTGTTTGTATGGGTTTGGTTTGGTGTGTTGATGGAATGCTCCAATTGCGTGGTTGGTCTAAACGGGTTGGCTTGTGTTGTTGCAGGCAATGATGCATCACCATGATCAGCAGCAGCAGCAGCAGCAAGGGTACCCATCGGGCGCGCCGCATGGTATGATGGGAGGTGGTGGCAGCAGTAGTTTCCCTCCGTCCTCAGGCCCAATGCCCCCGTTCCAGGGCCAGAGGAACATGCCGCTACCCGGTGGACCGCAGGGTCTGGCTGGAGGCCAGCAGCATAACCCGACGGCGATGCAGCAAGCATACCTGCAGTACATGATGCAGCAGCAGCAGCAGAAGGCCCATGGGATGCTCCTCCAGCAGCAACAGCAGGCCAAGATGAATATGGCAGGGCCATCTACAAGGGACCAGGATGTGGCTGCCAACACTGCAAAAATGCAGGAGCTTATGTCCCTTCAGGCTCAGGCCCAGGCCCAGATGTTCAAGAGACAACAATCTGAGCATCTTCAACAGGCAGAGAAGCAGGCGGAGCAAGGGCAGCCGAGCAATAGCGAGCAAAGGAGTGGTGATATGAGGCCACCTTCGATGCCACCACAAGGGGTCCCTGGGCAGCAGTTGTCATCGGCGGGTATGGTGAGGCCGATGCAGCCAATGCAAGGGCAAGCTGGCATGAGCAATGCTGGAGCTAACCCGATGGCAATGGCCCAACTTCAAGCTATCCAGGCCTGGGCCAAAGAGCACAATGTTGACCTGTCCAATCCTGCAAATGTGACTCTCATTTCTCAAATCCTACCAATGTTGCAGTCAAACAGAATGGCTGCCATGCAGAAGCAGAATGAGGTAGGCATGGCGTCACAGCAGCAGTCTGTACCCTCACAGATGAACAATGATGCACCAGGACATAGTAATTTTCCTAGTCAGGGTGCCCCATCGAAGCCCCGACAGCCTCTTCCACCAAGCACCTCTGTTTCTGGTGGGGCAGAGCCTAAGATGATGAATATGAGCAACATGCAGATGCAACAACAGTTAGCAGCTCATAACAGAGATAGCTCGAATGACAGGGCTGCGAGGCCAGCCATGTCAATGGGCAATGGTGGACAAATGATGCATATGCCCCAAAGTTCTGGACATGCAAACAAGATTCCTGAGCAGCCCAATCCAAAAAATGCAAATTCCGAAGCAATGCAGATGCAATATGCAAGACAGTTGCAGCAGGCTAACCGAGCTACTGCCCCTTCAGCAAATTCTGGTGAAACAGGAGGATCACAGGCCCCAAATCAAGCTGCCCGACCACCTATGGGTTTCACCAAACATCAGCTTCATGTACTTAAAGCTCAGATATTAGCTTTTCGGCGTCTGAAGGTACAGGAATGTTAAAATTTGGTCGTGTCTTTGCTTTTTTTTTTTAAATGAGTTCCAGTCCACAATTTTAAGTTATGATTCAAGCTGACTAATCCCAATACTGTAAATCTCCTTCTGTTTTTCATTGGTTGATCTCAGCGTGGTGATAAGAAGCTACCACCAGAAGTTCTTGATTTAATCATGTCTGGACCACCACCTGATTCACAAGCGCAGCAGGTTTCTGGACCTCCAGTAACAAACCGTGAAAGATCTGCTACAAGCAGCGCTGATGAACATGGAAGACCTGTGGAGAGTGGTGGTATAGCTCCTGAAAGATCTTCCCTGTTGAAGGCGCCCTGTTTACCAAAGGTGGAGGTTTCTGCTCCAGAAGACAAAACTATTCCTGCTAGTGGTCCCATGCAAGTGATGAAAGCTTCACCCAAGGAACCTCTTAGAATTGGACCAGTTTCAATGCCTGAACAAACCAACACCACCCTGATTAAATCTGAGCAGGATCCAGAAAGGGGTATCCAGAGAACACCTGGGAGAAGTGATTACAATGGTGAAAGGGGGAAATCTTTGCCAGCAGAAAGTGGTTCAGCAGACGCTGAGCAGGCAAAAAGAGCTGCCTCATCAAGTAGCGTGCCTACTCCCAACAGAGATGTTTCAAGAAAATACCATGGGCCACTATTTGACTTTCCATCCTTTACCAGGAAACATGATTCCATGGTGTCTGCAAATTACAACAGTAATCTAGCACTCGGTTATGACGTGAAGGATTTGTTAGCTCAGGAAGGCATGATAGTTCTTGGCAAGAAACGGGAGGATAATTTAAAAAAGATCAGTGGCTTGCTTGCAATTAATCTAGAGAGGAAAAGGATCCAACCAGATCTTGTTTTAAGGCTGCAGATTGAAGAAAAGAAGCTGAAACTCCTTGAATTTCAGGCTCGTATGAGGGATGAAGTTGAACAGGAGCAACAAGAAATAATGGCAATGCCTGATAGGGTGTACAGAAAGTTTGTCAGACAATGTGAACGCCAGCGTGTTGAGCTTACAAGGCAAGTTCAGCAGATGCAGAAAGCCTCAAGAGAAAAGCAGCTCAAATCCATTTTCCAGTGGCGCAAGAAGCTTTTGGAGGCACACTGGGCCATTCGTGATGCACGGATTACTCGTAACCGAGGGGTAGCCAAGTACCATGAAAGGATGCTGAGGGAATTCTCAAAGAAAAAGGATGATGATCGAAACAAAAGAATGGAGGCACTGAAAAACAATGACGTGGAAAGATATCGTCAAATATTATTGGAACAACAAACCAGTGTTCCTGGCGATGCAGCTCAAAGATACAATGTTCTATCTTCTTTCTTGACCCAGACTGAGGAGTATCTCTATAAACTTGGAGGGAAAATAACTGCTGCCAAGAATCATCAGCAAGTTGAAGAGGCGGCAAATGCTGCTGCTGCTGCTGCCCGAGCACAGGTATGAGTATGACATTCTTTGCTCTGGAAAATGATAACGGCCTTTTCCCCATCCCTCTTTTGTTTCTTATTTATGGGTTGTGACGCAAACGATAAATGTTAGCACAAACTTTTTAATTTCGAGGTTGGGGGTACAGACAGTACACTGGCCAATACACTTCTTGCCTTGTGTTTATCTGTACCCTCATTCATCATTGCACTTATACACTACTGGTCCATAACTTTTAGCTGCACTGATGCATTCATTCCCCAAGTTTCATAGTCCTGTAGATAATTGAGCATACCACTTGTTTAATAGGGTCTTTCTGAAGAAGAAGTGAAGGCTGCTGCACAATGTGCTGGTCAGGAGGTTATGATAAGGAACACATTCTCTGAAATGAATGCGCCCAGGGAAAACACATCTGTTAATAAGTAAGTAATTATCTTATTTTCAATATTCATTTTGACAATTTATGTTTCTGATTCACTACAAGTAAAGTTTATATGTGCTTTTGACTCCTGTGAGTAAATTTGCTTCACTCTCTAATTTGGAGCTGCTAACTGTAGATCAATATGGGCATTTAGTGCACACTAGTTTTCAGCATAAATAAGCTTACACTTGCCGTATTATTTTAGGTACTACACATTGGCTCATGCTGTGAATGAGAGAGTTACAAGGCAGCCCTCACTGCTGCGAGCAGGAACGTTAAGGGACTACCAGCTGGTAGGCCATTTACCTTCAACTTAATTTTCTTATATGATATAATATATATTTAAAACATTTCAAGTCTATTTCCAACCACCAAAAAAAATCTACAATTTGATTTGTTGCCTATCCACAGGTGGGCCTTCAATGGATGCTTTCCTTGTACAATAATAAGTTGAATGGTATTTTGGCTGATGAGATGGGTCTTGGCAAGACCGTACAGGTGTGGATTTCTTATTCCGTTCTACCTGCTAGACTTTTGCTATTTCACAATATTTTCTTTTATTATCTCATTTGCCTCCCCATTTCCTTTTGCCCTGCTAGTAACATCTTTTTGTGGCCACCAATTGAATAAATAGGTTATGTCTCTGATTGCATACTTGATGGAATTTAAAGGGAATTATGGACCACATCTCATAATTGTACCGAATGCTGTCTTGGTCAACTGGAAGGTTCTATTTTCCTGTCCTTTACTCTGAGGAAATACTGTTTGTATCTATTTTATGATGGGGATATTTATTTTGAAACATAATTTTTTACTTGGATTTCTATTATTGATTTAGAGTGAATTGCTGAACTGGTTGCCATCTGCATCTTGCATCTTTTATGTTGGTGCAAAGGATCAACGTCAAAAATTATTCTCTCAGGCAAGTTTCTTCCGTTTTATAGCCTATTTTATGCTATATCTGGACTTATAATACTGCTTAGCATTTATAGAATTGAAAAGATTCACAATACCTTTCCCTCCTAGATCACTGTTTGATTAACAGTATTGTTATCACAAATGTTTCTTAAATACTTGGTGGTCCTAGTTATATTGTTTGATCCATATTCTGGAAGGATAACACTCGTAAATCATGTATTCTCTGACTTCGGAATCACCCGCTTACTAATGCATTATCTGATTTGGAACCACCTGCTCACGGATTTTGCTTCAATATTCTTTTTGATTAATCTTGCAGGAGGTTCTGGCTGTGAAATTCAATGTTCTTGTAACAACATATGAATTTGTTATGTATGACCGTTCCAAGCTTTCAAGAATTGATTGGAAGTACATTATTATTGATGAGGCCCAACGGATGAAGGACAGAGAGTCAGTCTTGGCGCGAGATCTTGATCGTTATCGTTGCCAACGGCGTTTGCTTCTCACTGGCACTCCTCTACAGGTAAGCATTAATAATAAATGTAACACAATCGTTCTACATTGTAACACAATCCCCTTTTCTTTTCCTGTGTCACGGAAGTTCCTTTTCTCTGGTCTGCCAATATTGTTAGGACCACATCAGCAAATGTTGTTTTATTTCTATAACACTTTAGGGCTATTATTTAATGCTTTTTATTCAATTCTTTCAGAATGATCTTAAGGAGCTTTGGTCCCTCCTAAATTTGTTGCTACCAGAAGTATTTGACAACCGTAAGGCATTTCAAGATTGGTTCTCAAAACCTTTTCAGAGAGATGTTCCTACACATAGTGAAGAAGAAGATGATTGGCTGGAAACTGAGAAAAAAGTAATTATTATTCATAGGCTGCATCAAATTTTGGAACCTTTTATGCTACGAAGGCGTGTTGAAGATGTTGAAGGCTCACTTCCAAGAAAGGTCGATTGTTCTGCCCTTGTCACACTCAGTGATGCTATTTGTCACTCAGCTCTTTTTGTTTGCTACATTGTTAACTCGTCATGTCATTTGCAGGAGTCAATTGTTTTGAGGTGCAGAATGTCTGGTATTCAAGGTGCTATATATGATTGGATAAAATCCACTGGCACCATCAGGGTTGATCCTGAAGATGAGAAAGCACGTATTCAGAGGAATGCAATGTACCAGGCTAAGACATATAAGAATCTCAATAACAAATGCATGGAGCTGAGGAAAGTTTGCAACCATCCATTGCTGTCATATCCTTTTATGAATTACTATGGAAAAGATTTTATAATCAGATCTTGTGGGAAGTTGTGGAATCTTGATAGGATTTTAATTAAGCTTCATAGGTCAGGTCACCGTGTACTCCTTTTCAGCACTATGACAAAACTTCTTGACATCCTGGAAGAATATTTGCAATGGAGGCAACTTGTTTACAGAAGAATTGATGGAACAACTAGCTTGGAAGATCGTGAATCAGCAATTGTTGACTTCAACAGGCCTAATTCTGATTGTTTTATATTCTTGCTTAGTATTCGGGCTGCTGGCAGGGGTCTGAATCTTCAGAGTGCAGACACTGTTGTAATTTATGACCCTGATCCGAATCCACAAAATGAAGAGCAAGCAGTTGCTAGGGCCCATCGTATAGGGCAGACTAGGGATGTAAAAGTTATTTACATGGAGGCTGTTGTTGATAACATCTCAAGTTATCAGAAAGAGGATGAGTTGAGGAATGGGGGAAGTGGAGATCTGGAGGATGATCTTGCGGGAAAGGACAGGTACATGGGTTCAATAGAAAGTCTCATCCGCAATAATATCCAACAGTACAAAATTGACATGGCAGATGAAGTCATTAATGCTGGTCGATTTGATCAAAGAACAACCCATGAGGAAAGGCGGATGACTTTGGAAACACTCCTGCATGATGAAGAGAGATATCAAGAAACTGTTCATGACGTTCCTTCACTACAGCAAGTTAACCGCATGATTGCTCGGACTGAAGAAGAAGTTGAGCTATTTGATCAGATGGATGAAGAATTTGATTGGACAGGAGATATGATGAAACACAATCAAGCTCCCAAGTGGCTCCGTGTTAGCTCCACGGAGCTTGATGCTGTTGTTGCGAGTTTATCCAAAAAGCCCTTGAGAAATATGGCGGCTGGGGGAATTTCTCTTGACACTAATGAAAAACTTGAGAAACGAAGGGGGCGACCTAAGGGGTCTGGGAAGTACTCCATCTACAGGGAGATTGATGATGACGATTTTGAGGAATCTGATGATGATTCTGAAGAGAGGAATACCTCATCTCTGCCTGAAGAAGGGGAAATAGGAGAATTTGAAGATGAAGAGGACAATGATGATTCAGTGCCTGATAATAAGGATCAATCAGAGGAAGAAGAGCCTATCAATGATGAAGGGTATGATTTTTCACATGGGATGGGACGCAGAAAAGCCCATAGATCTGAAGAAGCTGGTTCAACAGGATCTTCATCTGGTGGCCGTAGATTGCCACCACCTGCACCTTCCTCCTCTTCAAAAAAATTGCGGTCTTTGTCTGCATTAGATTCCCGCCCGGGTGCTTTGTCAAAGAGAACTGTATGTCTGAAACACACCATATTTGCCTATTCTTTTCCTTTACTTCTGAACTTATTTGCTTCTCCTTTTCCTGTTTTAATTTGATTTTCTACGTGTTGAAATTAACTGCTCATTTTTTTAATGGACGGTTTACAGGCAGATGACCTAGAGGAAGGAGAAATTGCATTATCAGGGGATTCACATCTGGATCTCCAGCAGTCAGGCAGCTGGAATCATGAACGAGATGATGGTGAGGATGAACAGGTAGTACAGCCAAAAATAAAGCGCAAGCGGAGTATCCGTATTCGTCCAAGACCTAATGCAGAAAAACTGGATGATAGATCCGGTGATGGGACCGTCCCTCAACGTGGTGTTCATCTTGCATTTCAAGGAGATGGTGATTATGATTCACAATTTAAGTCTGAGCAAGCCTTTGCTGATCCTGCTTCCAGGCAGCAAGACACAGTTCATCGGACAGTAAAACAAAAGCGTAACATGCCATCTAGAAAGGCTCCCCCTGCCACTAAGGCTGGGAAAATGACTCAGCTGTCTGGATCTGGTGAGGGATCTGCTGAACATTCTAAGGAAAATTGGAGTAACAAGGTGATAGAATCTGCTGGTCCAAATTCAAGTGGAACAAAGATGTCTGACAGTATGCAAAGAAAGGTAGCATACAAAACCTAGTTCTTTGTATGTTTCAGCTGGTTTACTCTGTTAGAGCTACTCATTGCCTCGTCTTTTAAAACTTAAAAGGATATTGGATATTGAACTTCGGCAAGGAATACTTTGTAGAATTTAGTATACTCTGTCGTGTAAGCATCATCTTAAGAAAGATGGTTCCGCCTTCAAAATAGCAGAGCCATGATCCTTCCAAATGTAGGAATAGACCATTTTAGTATGCAATAGACAAACGCTAGCTAAAAACTGCCACCACACATGGCTTGGTCCCTGCTCGTTAAACGTTGCCGAGCATGGAAAACTAGAACAGATGAGCAATATATCAAGGAAGCAATGTTCTTTTTACCTTGGAAACATAAATGGATCTGCAGTTTTCTATAGAAGTATAATACTTGCCTAAAATCTTGTAAAATATTTATTCGGACTGTTAACTCAACTTGATAACATAAATATGGAAGTTAAATGTTGCCTACATACCGGGATAGTTGAGGTCTACCAAATATACTGCATTGCTAGGTAAATCTCGACTGCTATCTGCTTGCATTAGCAAAAGAGCCAAGTATGACGCCGCTTATTTCATGTGGTGTTTTCACATTGTTCTACAATCATAACAACGTAAGTCCCGTGCAGTGGTTGTGGGGTGCACGTGAAGTGGTGTGGACTATTTCATGACTATTGCCTGTTTTTGCTTATACTGATTACTAGTGTAGTTTTTGGATATCATTTATTACTACAGCTTATCCGTTGTGTTGATTTTGTTGTAGATTCCTTTTGCCATTTGGTTTGGCTCATATTGTTTGCCTTCTTTTTTTTTTGACTGCTTTTGCTTACACTGATTACTAGTGTAGTTTTTGGATATCATTTATTACTACAGCTTATCTTAATGTTGAGGTTGTCTCAATTTTGTTGTAATTCCTTTCGCAAATGGTTTGGCTCGTATTGTTTGCCTTTTTAACAGCTCTTTATAGCTAAGCGTTTCTCATTCAATACCTGCAGTGCAAGAACGTGATAAACAAGCTTTGGAGGAGGATTGACAAAGAGGGTCATCAAATCATACCAAATATATCTTCTTGGTGGCGTAGGAACGAGAATTCCTCATTCAAAGGTTTGGCTAGCAGCACCCTTGATCTACAGAAAATTGAACAACGAGTTGATGGATTTGAGTATGGCGGTGTGAATGAATTCATAGCTGACATGCAGCAGATGCTGAAAAGTGTGGTTCAACATTTCAGCTATAGGCATGAGGTAATTTCATAGTACTAGAAAAGCTTCCTTTTTTGTCCTTAATTTGTATAAATTGAAGTATCATGGGGGTCATTCCAATGCTGACACCATGGGTCCATGGTCGCCATCAAGTTTGTTGACATTCTCTCTCTACTTGGTACTGATTACTATTTAAAATTCAGAAGAACTGCGTAGCTTTCTGTATTCCTGAAGAAAACCATGTTGACTTAATAGAATAAGATACCACGACATACTTGCACAGACTCTAATTCTGTGAATTCATACTTCTCTAACTTCTGATAGTCTGACTGGTGTACTCGTGAATTTGCTCCTACAAAATGCAGGTCCGAGTAGAAGCTGAGACCCTCCACAACTTATTTTTCAATATAATGAAGATTGCCTTTCCGGACTCAGACTTCAGAGAAGCTAAGGGTGCTATGTCATTTTCGAATCCTGGAGGAGGTGCAAGTGGCTCTGCTGCGCAATCAACAAAGCAATCTGCTTCAGGCCAGAAACGTCGTTCAAGCACCAGTGAAGCGGAGCAGCATGGTTCAAGCACTAGCAGACACAATCAGCATGCACCAGTTGGTGAGGTTTCAGGCCGGGCCCACACTTCAAAATCTGAGAAGGACTCCCGGCATTCTGGACCAGGTAGCAGGGAACAGTTCACGGATAGCGCAGGGCTGTTCAGGCACCCTACAGATATGTTCATAGTTAAGAAGAAGAGAGATCGAAGGCCGAGCCTGGGGTCTCCATCCAGTTCAGGCCGAACTGGACCGCTCTCCCCGACCAACGCCGGGCGGATGGGACCGGCGCCATCACCTAGAGGTGCCAGGACGCCCTTCCAAAGAGATCCACACCCTTCTCAGCAGTCTATGCATTCAGCTGGATGGGGTGCTCATTCTGTGCAGCAATCTGATCGTGGGGGGAGTTCATCACCCGGCATTGGAGACATCCAGTGGGCTAAACCTACCAAGAGATCGAGGACTGATAGTGGCAAAAGACGGCCAAGCCATATGTGAAAAAGAAAAGAGGGATTGTTATTCTTGGCATTGCGGTGTACATTCCTTAGCACCCTTGAATCTTGATTGACCTCTCTACCCGCTGCTGATTCTGGAGCCCATTGGCCTGGTTTTGACACCCATTTCTTCGTCGCCATTCCTGCCATCCTTCAAAGAAGTTATCACGACCGTCTGGGACTGACTTGTGTTGTCATGGACATTGTGGGAAATGTGGGTAGGAGTAATCGTTCTTGTATGTTGGTATTTTCTGTAAAGGGCAAACACATTTAATCTTGTTCTCTGTTGACTGTTAAGTAGCGCTCCATCCAACTGGAGATGTGATGGCGATCTCATGTCATGATGATGTAGTTTAGTAGCCATGGAATGAAATGAAATGAAGCTGAGCCGGTTATAATAGTTGTATATCTCCATCTCTTTCTTGACTTGCATCATGCTGTCTGCTATGTTACAGATGGCTCTGTCTGCTACATTACAAAACGAGACTACGTTTGCTTGCATTGTGTGACCAAAATTATTATTCTTGTACTTATCATCTAATAATAACGAGCTGGCCCTTAACGGCAGAGGCATTTGTATGCATACATATACATGGACTAATATAGACATGCTGCTTCCTTCGTCTTACCAAGGAAGTAGGAAACATAAAAGGAAGAAATGACTCAGGTGGTATTTGGTTGGGGGGACTAAAGTGGGGCTAAACTTTAGTCCCTCTCACAAAAACATAAGTCCCTACCATAGGGATTTGTACTTTTGTGAGAGGCACTAAATTTAGTTCCTAGTTTCCAAACACTCCCTTAGGATTGATATGTAAAAACCAAATCCATTACAGAAAGTAGCAGGTCTTGAACATAACATATTAGCCATTAGGCAGGTAAATCATCCAGCAGAATATCACTGATAAAAAAAAATTAAGCGGCTCGTGAATCGCCCAATCTCTGCAGCTTGTTTCATCTCTTTCCCCCTGGCAGCCTACGTGATTTCTTCTTCTTTTTTCTTTTCTTATTAGACTCCATGGCGCCAGTTCTTACCAGAGTTCCTGTCTCACCTACATCAAACACACAACAGAAAGGGTTACACCTTTTCTTGCTCCCTAATAACTAGGGCAACATAGGGGGTGTTTAGATCCATAGGTGTAAAGTTTTAGCGTGACATATCGAATATACGGATACATATTTAAAGTATTAAAAGTAGATGAATTTATTAAGCCTAATCAATCTGCCATTAGCAAATGTTTACTGTAGCACCACATTGTTAAATCATGAAGCAATTAGGTTTAAAATATTCGTCTCACGATTTACACACAATCTGTGTAATTAGTAATTTTATGTGTCTAAACATTCGATATGACAAGGTGAAAAATTTTACGAGGGGATCTAAACAAGCCCATACAGTACCGGATCATTAAACAGAAACTAGTACATTCTGACAGTAATAGAATTATCTTTTTACCTAGAAAAAAAATACCGTTCGTATGCTTTTCAAATACTGTTTCACTTCAGGTTACTTTTGGTCAGCATCTACTAATTACATAAAGCCTAGAGGAAACTGTTAATCCTAGGGGTGCTCCCTGAAAAACAGTCATGGATGAACTCTCTCCCCTCCCCCCACCCCCAAAAAAAAAAAAAACAAGAGTCATGAATCAAAGTTTGTAACATGTCAACTTCTAACAGTAGTCAAAATGAACCCTTCTCCAAATGAACAAGTCATGAACTATTGAACTTAACTCGAGTATAATAAATACAGCAATACCCCATCAACACAGGTCAACTAGAAATTACCTGTAGCGTTGATGAGATATTTGGAGATCTCACTGGTAATGTAGTAGCGCATGAAGCTGGAATTCTTCCTGTGATCAAGCTCAGTCACACCTTGCAGTGTCTTATCCCTCAGATCAACAGAAATAACCCATCTCTTATCATCACTGTAGCCGATCTTGGACAGGAAAGAGATGACATTGCCATCCATGCCCAATGTGGGGTGACCTGTGAGCAACCTCCTCAATGTTTCCTCTGGATCATTGCAGATCTTTGGCAGCAGCTCACTGTACCTGACATTGTCGACGACGGCGATGTCGGTTACATCCACCGTGCACTCCCTGTGCCAATCCTTCCATGAACCAGCCGGTATCGGCCTGCTCCATATGTTGGCCTTCCAGTAGTAAGCAACATCCTCGTCTGAGCCGTCAGAAGAATCCGAGTCATCAGAATTATGTTCAATCAACCGTCGTCGCCGCCGAGGTGGTGGATCACCGGGGCGTGTCACCATCTCGACGTACTTGATGCAGGAGGGAGCAGAGTCCTGCACGACGACGGTGATGTCACGGTAACCATGTGGGTAGCCTCTGCAGAAGGATTTCCGGTTCCTCCTCGCCGGCTTGGGCAGCGGCAGGTCGCGGAGCACGGGGTGTTCGTCGAGCACGTCGTCGCAGAGCAGGATTCCCCTCCAGAGATCCACCCAGCCGACGGCCATGGCGTGGTCACCGCCGGCGAGCGTGATGACCTTGGTGGTGTAGTGGAAGAGCACCTCGGTGGCAGTGTCCGGGATGGGGAGCACCCTGTCCCTCTCGGCCGGCTCGTCGACGGACACCGCCGTGGAGGTCCAGCGGCCGACGTCGGAGTCGAAGCGCTGAAGCTTGAACTCCATGGGGCACCTGATGGTGGGCATGAGGCCGGCGATGACGTAGCGTGCGCCGCCCGAGCAGCGGACGATGGCGACCGCGTCGCTGCTGAAGGGGGAGGCGTGCGGGTTGGGCAGCAGCCGGAGCGACGGGCGGGGGCTGGCCGTGTAGACGAAGTAGTCGTAGGATCTGATGCCGCGGTAGAGCTCGTCGTTGGGGTGCGGGACGAGGAGGAGGGCTACGTCGGCGTGCGTGCTGATGACTCGGGGATCGACGGTGAACCGGTAGGCCTCGCCGTGGCCGGCGCCGGGGCGGGGGCAGTGGACGCAGAGGTAGGAGAGGCGCGGCGGGCGGGCGAGGCAGAAGGAGACGTGGATGCGTACGCCGGTGGTGGTGGTGGAGACGGCGGTGGTGGCGTTGGAGACGGCGTCGGGGGAGACGTAGGCACTCGCGTCGAGGTACACCCAGCTTGGGGTTGGGCTCACGCCGCCGCCATCATCGTCGTCGGCCGGGAGCGGAGGCGAAAACAGCAATGGCAGGAGGAGATCGTCATCCAAGGGGATGGGCTCATCATCATCCATGGCGAATCACGGAGACGATCCGATCGGAGATCGACGAACGCCTCTTTGGATTGGATTGCGCCCACCCCACACGCATTCCGAGCTCCCGCCTATCTCGCTCGCTAATTGCGATCAGGGTGAAATTTCGGACCGAATTTCTTACGATATTACTTCGACCGAATTTTTTCATGAATTTTGGTAGTATTTGTTCAAATTCAACTAAATTTTGTTCAAAATTTCGGACCGAAATTTCGGTGAGGCCCAATCAAATCCAACGCCGGCACGCGGGTGCCTCCCTCCCTACAGCAGCCGGAGCTCCGCCGCCGTTCCTCGCCAGCCGACGGATAGTCCTCCAGCCAGGGTTTTCCCTTCGGGAAACAAGAAAATTTCGGTGGGCACCGAAATTCCGAAATTTCGGACAAATTCTGATATTTCGAACGAAATTTTTTGAAGAAAAAAAATTCTGATTTCGAATGAAATCTTGCTTTTGAAGAAAACCCAAAAGCAAGAGAGTTCATTACAAAACGAAAGGTAAAACACGAACTCTAACGATGGGGTCGCCAGCTTGACATTTTATTACAGTATAATAACCGAAGAAAATTCCTGAGCATCCATTTCAGGCCAATCATCAGGGGAAGATAGCAGTTTAACTTGGGATAAACAGACGAAAACCAAATCCATTACAGAAAGTAGCATGTCTTGCACAGAACAACTCTGATAATAGCTCATTACAGAAAGTAGCTCATGAATCGCCCAGTCTCTGCAGCTCGTTTCATTTCTTCAACCCAGGTAGCCTACGTGATTCATTAATTAATTCCTACTTCTTCTTTTTTGAGACTCTACTATTAACCCCAGTTTTTACAAGAGTTCCTGCCTCACCTGCATCAAACACACAACATACACAGAGAGGGTTTAAGTGGCACTTCAAAAACAAATCCTAGGAGTGCACTCTGAAAAACACACTCATGAATCAAGTTTCTAACCTGACAACTTGTAAACAGTAGTCAAAATGAAGAAGGTTATGAACTATCCATTAGATTATTTGACTATTATGGTGCAACAGTTATAAAACAAACCTGTAGCCTTGATAAGATATTTGGAGATCTCACTGGTGTTGTAGTAGCGCTTGAAGAGGAAATTCTTCCTCTCATCAAGCTCAGCCACGCCTTGCAGCGTCTTACTCCTCAGATCAACAGAGATAACCCATCCCTTATCATCCAAGCGATTGATCTTGGACAGGAAAGAAATGACATCCCCATCCATACCCAATGTGGGGAAACCTGTGACCAGCCTCCTCAATGTCTCCTCTGGATCATTGCCAATCTTTGGCAGCAGCTCACTGAACCTGACATTGTCGACGGCGATGTCAGTGACATCCACCGTGCACTCCATCTGCCAATCCTCCCATGAACCAACTGGTATCGGCATGCTCCATATGTTAGCCTTCCAGTAGTAAGCAACGTCCTCTTCCTCATCAGAGTCAGAGTCATCAGAATGTTGCGGCGGCTGTCGTTGTCGAGGAGGTGGCCGATCACCGGGGCGGGTCACCATCTCAACGTACTTGATGCAGGTGGGAACAGAGTCCTGCACGACAACGGTGATGTCCCGGTAATGATGCGGCGGCCCTCTGCAGAAGGATTTGCGGTTGCTTCTCGCTGGCTTGGGCAGTGGCACGTCGCGGAGCACCAGGTGTTGGTCAAGCACGTCGTCACACAGCAGGATCCCTCTCCAGAGATCCACCCAGCCGATGGTGCCGCCGAGCGTGATGACCTTGGTGGTGCAGTGGAAGACCATCTGGCTGGCCGTGTCAGGGATGGGGAGCACCCTGTCCCTCTCGACCGGCTCACTGATGGACACAGCTGTGGATTTCCAGCGGCCGACGTCGGAGTCGAAGCGCATAACCTTGAACTCCATGGGGCGCCTGATGGTTGGCATGAGGCAGGCGATGACGTAGCGGGCGCCGCCGGAGCAGCGGACGATGGCGACCTCCTCGTTGCGGAAGGGGGAGACCCGCGGGTTCGGCAGCAGCCGGAGCAAGGAGGCGCCCGGGCCTGGGCGGGCCGTGTAGACGAAGTAGTCGTAGGATTTGATTCCGCGGTGGAGCCCGTCGTTGGGGTGCGGGACGCGGAGGAGGGCTACATCGGTGTGCGTGCCGAGGACTCGGGGATCGACAGTGAACCGGTAGGCGCCCTCGCCGTCGCCGGGGCGGGGGCAGTGGACGCAGAGGTAGGAGAGGCGCGGCGGGCGGGCGAGGCAGAAGGAGACATGGATGCTTACGCCGGTGGTGGTGGTGGAGAAGGCGGTGGTGGAGTTGGAGACGGCATCGGGGGAGACGTAAGCTCTGTCTTCGAGGTACACCCAGCTTGGGCTCACGCCGGCGGTGGCGTCGTCGTCGGCCGGCAGCGGCGGCGGAAACAGCAAGGGTAGTAGCACACCCTCATCCATGACGTAGGGGACGGGCTCATCACCATCATCCATGGCGAAGGCGGCGAGGGATCCGGTCGAATCGAATCCTAATCAGCGATGAGGAGGAGGAGGAGCTAACCCTAAATCGGAGTTGTGCCCCAAGACGAGGAAGAATGGGGAATTTGAGGTTTCCTTTTTTTTTTTTTTCTCTCTTTCCCCCCTCACCCGCCTCGGGAAAGACGGGAGTTGGATTTTCACCTAATCTGAACCGTTGTGTCTTTTTCTACGCATAGGATTAAGCCACGTCTCTCTTCTTGTTCCTTGATCTGTCTCCAGGGAGAAAATGGATATTTAGCCATTCTCAAAACACTGGAATGCTATTCTGAAACCGCGATTGTTAAAATGCCAATATGGACCGCACAACCATAGCCACTTTTCCATTTTCTTTATTTTCGATTTCATTTTCGTTGGGGCAGAGCTTGATGAGACGATTTTGCCCCTCTCCCCACTCTCTTCTCCTCTGCTCGAATCGGAGGGAAGAGAAGAGGTCGCCGCGCAGCGATGCCGTTCTGCAGCTTCTACGCCTCCACCTCCCTCCAGCTTCGACGAGGAGGAAGAAACGGTAGGGCCCCACATGTTCGGCTGGTGCCCGGTGAGGTCACGACCTCGCCACCGCCTGCGCGAGGCGCTGGACCTTCGCGGCGATCCCTGGCGGCTGCGGCCGCTCACGGCCACCGCATGGTTCCCAACGATCCTGCCGGCACTTGTGCTCCGCCGTGGTGGCACCGTCGTTTCCTCCTCGCAAATCAGTCCCCATCTCCCTTTGCTCTTCCTTATTTTTTTTTCAATATCCACATCACCTCGCATGGTTATTGCTCTCTTGTTTGATTGGTGTTTCTTTTGTCTCATTCAAAGAAGCATTCATGTTGGGGATCGATATGAACGGTTGTGCTTGCTTTCTCTGTCCCTGAGATGGATACACGCTTGTACTAGTTTGCAAATCTTGATGGTGCCGGAGGAGTATGTCGGTGTCTTGCAGGTGTTTGGGGTGAATCCTGTCAGGATGCATGCGGTAGTGTGCAGTAGGTCCTTGTGGAGGAGCCGGCGACCCGACGAGGCATGGGACAGCGAGGCGGTGGGACGTGGTCGTCGGCGAGCAGACCAGCGGGTAGGCGTCACTGTAACGCCCTGAAAATCGCCCTAAATTTAAATCGTGCTTTAATGCATTTCTAGAAATTTTAAAAGCCTAAAAGAGCCTCCAACAATTAAAATTCACCAAGATTTATGTCAAATTGGCTTGTGGGTATTTTTAATAAATTCCCCATGCTTAAAAATGTTTAACCAATTTTTACTTGAATTTTCAGAGCATCCTAAATAATTTTAAGGCAACAAAAACAATTAAAGAATTTTACAAAAAGGAAAAGCTAAAAGAAATCATCTTCCTCCTGTTGGGCTGTTTGCAGCCCATCTCTCTCCCCCTCCTCTCAGCCCAGCCCAGCCGCCCCCTCACCCTCCCTCTCTCCCCTCCCCCTCCCTCTCCTTGGGCTGGCTCAACTGCTCCCCATCTCCCTCGGACAAAAGTCTGCTTCACCTCCCCTGCGCGCCCAGCCTGACAGGCGTGCTCCTACTCGATGACAGGTGGGTCCCACTCGTCATCCCTAACCTCCAGCCATCCTCTCTCTCTCCGGCCGAATTCCAAGCGACGGCAACCTCCGATTCGCCTCCTCCACTCGCCGTTTCATCAAATTAATTGAGGGGAATTAATTCCCACCTCATCCTCTCCAATTCCCCCATAATTTCCCACTCAATCCCACATTATTCGTGGTGGATTTTGATGATGCTCATCAATGGTGAGCTCCACCATGCCCCGCGTCGATCTCCCTCCCCGGCGCCTCTCTCCCTCCCCTCCGGCCTATAAAAGGGACCCCCGACTCCCTCCTCTCTCCCCTCACACCGCTGCCCTCTCCCTCCTCTCTCCGCGGCCGCCGCGCCGCTCTCTTCTTGTGCCGCCGCCGTCGCAACTCCGGCCGCCCCTCGCCGGTGGTCGGGACCTCGTCGGAGCCCGGCGTCGCCACCATCCGCTTCGTCGCTTCCTCCTCTTCCCCGTCCACCCCTCCGTCGAGTACAAGGACCGCGGGAACGACGCCGACGCCGACGACCCGAAGCTTCTCGTCGTTTCTTCCTCACCGCCGGCAACACCGTCGACCTCTCGCCGCCGTGTCTGCTCGGTGAGAACCGTCGTCTCCTCCCCTTTCCGTTTTTCCCCTTTCCGCTCTCCGTCGCACTGCCGCCGCGCCGTTGGCCGTCGCCGGCGAGCCGCCTGGCCGGGTGCTGCTCCTGCCCGGCCGTGTCTGTGCCTCGGTGCACCGTGAGCCACCTCGGTGCTCTCGGCTCACAGTGGACCGAGCGGCTGCCAAGTGGGACCCGCCCGTGGACCCCTCTCTCTCTTCTCTGTGCAATAAATCAATTTCCTTTAGAAAAATAATTCACAAAATTGCAAATTTCCATTTAAACAACACCTAAACTTCAAATGGCCATATCTTGACCGTTTGAACTCGGAATCGACCCGTTCAAATCTCTAATTTCTCCTAAAAATGAGTAGAATCCATTTATGTGCTTTATTGCTTCTGTTCATATGGTTTTTATTAGTCCTTTTGTATTTCTTCGCGTTGGTCGTGTAGATCCTGCCGTTCCGGAAGATCAGCTCTTCATCGCCGTTGACGCCGAAGACTTTGTGAGCGATCAAGGCAAGTCATATCTACCTTGAACATGTTGAATCCCATATTGTGAAAATTATGTTGTTTTACTTATATTGCATTGCTTTATAAATTATACCGTTCATTATTAATATTGTTTTATTAGTTATTCCTATGCTCTTGGTTATGGCCATGATGTTGATTTGATATCCATGATCTTTGTGAACCCTAGTAAAATTATAACTTGACTAGTCTAGTACCCTACATGATGGACTGACTAGTTGCTTTAGGTAAATGCTTAGTCATGCTTAGTTCCAACCTAGAACTTTTGGTTAAACTAGACTTTGGTGGTTAACAACTAAAATTGGATTAGTTATGGACTATTGACTGGTTTGTCAATAGATGGGTGATAAAATGATTTGTGCAACTAAAATATATTTTTTTTGGGCTGGGCTTGGGGTGCAAGCTAGTTACTTTGGTAGTCGCACCCCGGCTAATATAAGGACCGGTCTTCGGGCCTCTGTTGCAAGGCATCTTCGTGCAACCACAAGTCTAGTGGGTAAGGCCTGACTGGAAATTTAGATCTTCTCAAAACAGAGACCATTGGTTGGAAGGGTGTGGGGCCAGGATTAAGGCCGTTTTTCACCCGGCGCAAGGGGGGGCCTGACTCGTCCCGGGGGATCCGACAACCTTTACCTTGTCGGGGACCGGCGGGCGGCGAAACCTCAGCGGGTTCTCCTGTTTTGGGTAGACCTAGATGGATAGTCTTGTCACGACCTCTATCCGAGTACCGTGGTGGTACCCGGCGCGTGGCAACGCGTGTTGAGGTTGTGTCTTGTGGGTAAAGTTGTACACCTCTGATCAGAGTTAAAAACTATTCGAATAGCCGCGCCCTCGGTTATGGGCAAGCTGAGCAATGTACCCAAAGTTAGTTTTGTTTTATAAAACATTGGAGGGTGAAATCATGATGGTGTAGTCATGTGGAGATTAGCCTGGGTTAAGGCAGGTTCGCAGGCTCATGCGACCTTGATGATATTAAAATATTGGCTTAGAACAGGATCGTGTTTTAAAATGAGCTTTAACTTGATTAAAATGTTTAAATTATGGCTTTATGCAAAATAAACCCTATTAGGCCATTTCCTTGTTTTCCCTACGCATTATTGTTGCATTTCCGGTGTGACTTGCTGAGTACGGTGGTGGTACTCACTCTTGCTCACAAAAATAATCCAGAGGATGGACCTGAGGAAGGTGAAGGCTTGGATCTCTAGTTCGCTCCGCCGTCGAGTGCCTGTGGCTGCTGCTGTTCCGTAGTCTTCCGCTGTTTTATTTGTTTATCTTTGAGTGTGAGGGCCTAAGTCGCCCATGTAATCAAGTACTCCTTTACGTTTCCGCAAGTGTGGCATGTAATAATCAACAATGTCTATGTGTACCTCGCCTCCTGGGACGAGGATTAATGCACTGAGCGTTTGGAAATGGTGTATATTTCCGGGCGTGACAGTCACGAAACATGCGTGCCGCTGCTCACCGGCTCGCTGCCTCCATCCCGCGCCCCAAGTGAGTCCGAGCAGGCGAGCACCGGTCCGTTTTTAGGAACAGCGCACGTCGGCGTCGGCTGGGGGTGCCTCCTCGCCGTCGAACAGTCGAGGATGGGGTCCTGAAGACAGAGAGCACGGCCGTCGTGAAAGCCAAGGCGGCAGAGGTAGAGGAGCGCCGAGCGGAGCTGGTCGCGGACGCTGCAGGCGAGGGTCTGGGGGCATTTGACGACGACGCGGCGTTAGGTGGTGTCCGGGACGGCGAGGTCGTCGGTGAGGAAGGCGAAGACCGGGCGGAGGTCGGCGCGGACGCTGGCGGTAAAGAACCGCCAGGAGCTCCGTCGGGATGTCTCTGTCGCTGTGGTGACGAAGCAGCAGCAACTGGGTGAGCAGGGGTAATTTGGTCTCATCAAGCCACATTGCAGCAAATATGGAATTGAAAATGGCAAAATGGCTGTGATCACGCGCTTCATATTGGCATTTTAACGAAACACGCTTTTGAGATGTCATTCCTCTCCTCTTGAAGCCAACTCCCACAAGCACATGATCTGAGTGAGTCTTGTGCATACGAAAAAAAAAAAACTTTTTCCACCTGCACCAAGCACCATATCGATTGAACCACGGGTAAAAATGCTCCCTGCTCCTATATTCCATATATTTAAATCCTAATTTCAGCTATTTTTAAATTGTATTTATATATAGACTATGTATTTTTAAATCTGAATTTCAGCTACGGGGAAGAAGAAATGCCTTCCACACGATGTGGCGATGAACGGACTGGCAAAAAATCCTGCGTACAAGTATTAGTAACGTCCGTAATCTATCTATCTATTAATCAGAGAAAAAGAAAAGAAGAGTCCAACTAGAAATACAATTTTAAAATAGCTGAAATTCGAAATTAAAAATAAGCAATATTGAAAGAAGTTTCCATATAAGAACCCAATACGAGATTAATCAAAATTCAAAATAAAAATAAAATAAAATCCAAAATTAGAAAATGAAATGAGAGTCCAAGTAGGAATACAAATTAAAAATAGCTGAAATTCGGAATTAAAAATAACAAATATTAAAAGAAGAGTCCATGTAAGAACCCAATACAAGATTAATTAAAATTCAGAATAAAAATAAAAATAAATCTGAAATTAGAAAAAGAAAATAAAAGAAGAGTTCAAGTAGGAATACAATAAAGAGTAGGCCGCGGACGGGCTATAGAGAGGCATAATGGCATCGTTTAATGGGACTTCTAAAAATTATAAAAAATGAAACTACAAGTCTAATTTTTAAAGGTTTGGAACTTCTAAAAAGTAAAAAAAAAAGCAATGATAATCATGTTCGATATTAAAATCTCAATGACAATAAAGAAGGGAGGCAGCGGGCGAGCTATAGAGGAGTACAATGGCAAAGCCGCTAACGGTTTGGCAGGACTTCTAGAGAGTAAAAATGAACCCAGACAATAATTATGTTCGATTTTTAAAATCTCAATGACAATAAAGAGAAAGACAGTGGATGGACCATAGAGGAGTATAATGGCAACGTTTGACGGGAAATCTAGAAATTATAAAAACGAAACCCAACGTGACAATAAACTCTACAAACTATAAAAATCCAATTTTAAAAGATTTCAAGAAGAATAAGTAGAAATAGTGGTAGATCGAGCAAGCAAATGAAGAAGGAGATGACATAAAGGATAGCAACTGGTGTGACTTAAAACTATATAATTAAAAACACGAGGATGATAAGGTTTGGTCTTTCAAAGTCTTAAGACAATGAGATAGCTATTTAATAAATTTTAAGTAAAATTATACTTAAAAAATATGATTTTGTTTGACACAAAATAAAATAAAATCCGAAATTAGAAAAGAAAAGGAGAGTCCAAGTAGGATTACAATTTAAAAATTACTGAAATTCGGAATTAAAAATAAGGAATATTGAGAGAAGAGTCCATATAAGAACCCGATACGAGATTAATTAATATTCGGAATAAAAATAAAAATAAAATCCGAAACTAGCAAAAAGATAAGAAGAGTTCAAGTAGGAATACAATTTAAAATTAACTGAAATTCGGAATTAAAAAAATAAAAAAATATCCAAAATTAGAAAAATCAAAGAGAGTTTAAGTAGAGATGTAATTTTGAAACAACTGAAATTCAAAAATAAAAAATAAATTTAAAAGAACACTATACTGTATTAATTAAAATTTGAAAAAAATAAATTCTGAAATTAGAAAAAGAAAAAAGATTTCAGTTAGGAATACAATTTGTAAATAATTAAAATTTGTGATAAAAAATAAAGACTATTGAAAGAAAAGACCATCTAAAACACATGACGAGATAAAATAAGTAACATGCCTATACAGGAGTAGAGTGGTGGCGGTTGATCTAATTTTTAAAGGTTTAAAGGAGAATGAATAGAAATAGTGGTAGATCAAGCAATCAAATAAAGAATGATATGATAGAAGTAAGGGATAGCAGCTGGGTGTGACTTTTAAAAACTATATAATTAGAAATACGGGGATCATAATGTTTGGTCTTTCAAATTCTTAAGACAACGAGATAGCTATTTAGTAAATTTTAAGTAAAATCATACTGAAAAAAATATGATTTTGTTTGGGTGCTAGCCGCGCAATTGCGTGGGCCACCCGGCTAGTTATATTATTAACACAGCTCAAAAAGAAGGCACCATATACGCTGTGAGGGCTAGAAATTCACACATTAATTGAAGAAAAAGAAAAGAAGAGTCCAAATAGAAATACAATCTAAAAAAAATTCAAATTCGGAATTAAAAAGAAGAAATATTGAAAGAGTAGTCCATATAAGAACCCAATACGTGATTAATTAAAATTCAGAATAAAAATAAAAAAATTGAAATTAAAAAAGAAAATAAGAGTTTAAGTAGGAATACAATTTTGAAATAACTAATTCGGAATTTAAAATAAGCAATATTGATAGAGGAGTTCATATAAGAACCAAATACATAATTAATTAAAATTCGGAATACTAAATATATAAATTTCTGAAATTAGGAAAGAAAAGAAAAGTTCAAGTAGGAATATATATTTTTAATAATTAAAATTCAGCATAAAAAATATTAAAACAACAATTAATCAATCAATAACATAGCACGAGATTAATTAGAATTCGAAATAAAAAATAAAATAAATTCAGGAATTATAAAAATAAAAAAAGAGTTCAACTAGAAATACAATTTATAAATAATTAAAATTCGCAATAAAAATAAAAATATTAAAATAATAGACCATATAGAACATGTGATGAGATTAACTAAAATTCAAAATAACAAATAAAATAAATTTCAAAAATAGAAAAATAATTATAAGAGTTCAAGTATGAATACAATTTACAAATAAAAAATTATAAAAATGAAAAATATGGATTTTTCGAAAAGAATAGTTCAGACAGCAATATCGACAATGAAGAGGGCGAAAAACAATAAGCCTGCATAGGAGTAAAGTGGTGGCAGTTGGTGGGACATGTAAAAACTATAAACATATAAAGAAAACTCCAAATAGAATCCCAATGACGATTAAGAGATGCGACAACGAACAAACCATTAAGCAACATGATCATGGCAGTTGGCGGGATTCTAGAAAGTAGAAAAATAAATCCCAATAATAATCATGCTCAATTTTTAAATACTCAATGACAATAAAGAGGGGAGGCAACGGGCGGGTCACGCGCAGAGGAGTACAATGATAAAGCCACTGACGGTTTAGCGGGACTTCCAGAAAGTAAAAAAATAAATAAACACAAACAATAATTATGTTTGATTTTTAAAATCCCAATGATAATAAATAGAGGAGGCAGCGGAGGGGCCATAGAGGAGTATAATGGCGGTGTTTGACGTAACTTTAAAAAAATTATAAAAACAAAATTCAAAGACAATGAACTCTAAAAACTAAAAGATCTAATTTTTAAAGGTTTCATGGAAGATATGAATAAAAAAGTGATAGATCGACAAGTAAATAAAGACCTGAGAAATGAGTAAGGGGTAGCGACCGAAGTGACTTTTAAAACCTATAAAATTAGAAACGCGCGGATGATAAAGTTCGGTCTCTCAAAATCCTAAGACAACGAGATAGATATTTAACAAATTTTAAGCAAAATCACATTAAAAAATAAATAATTTTGTATGGGTGCTAGCCGCGCAAGGCCACCCAACTAGTTATTAATGAAATATCAATTGCGGTGATTAATCCCTCTCTCCGTTATCCTCTTTAATTACATTGTAATTCTCCATCATCAACCCTAATGTGGAGTGCTCTTTATCAATCGATTGGACCACAAATGTGAGTGGCCGCGGGCTTTCTTTTTTAAAACTAATGGGTAATACCTGAATTCTACATCTAAATAGATATACGCAGCCAAGGTAAATCGAGTTATCAAGCGTAATGTAACTGCAATATCATCTTTTTCTCCCTCTTTGGTTCTTGCTCACATGTTAGCACTTAGCATCCAGTTTCCGAGCGCAGCATGTGAAATTTCATCTGAGTAAATGTTAGATTTGTTGATGTACAATCAATTATTTTACTACTTCATCCAAGTACTTTCTCGCGGATAGCTACTGCTGGTTGCTTACCTAGCTACCGTACAGTTTCACACTTTTCCTAGCTGAATTTGTATATGTTTTGATTTTTACTATCAGCTCCACACCTCTATAGCTCTCTCTCTTTTGTGGACTTTTGCTAGCATGTAGATGTTACATTAGCTTTATTCTGTATGTATCTTTTCCTTTGGATTACATGTGGTATTGTTTGTTCCAGAAAAAAGATGAATAACACCAATCCTCTAAATTGTTTGACAGACTATCAGCTGGTAACATCAATCTCTTACTATCAGATTTTGTTATGATCATCTCTCAAACTGTGCGTTGAGATTGTTTAGCCAATGGGCTCCTTATGCTATGGATGTTGAGCTAAAATCAGGCAACTATTAAGGTTAAAAAAACCAGGTAACTCTTCTACCACTTCTAAAAGAATTTTTCACTATTACTAACTTGATACTCCTAGAAAAGCATACACCAGCCTTATCAATTAGTACAACAAACAAAATTAGCAAACTTTGAGACATGCACATGCCTATATAAAGTATGAAATAATTATCCCGGTCCATCCCAACTGATTAATTTTGTATTACAATTCACAGGCAATCTATATAAGACCACTTTCACATCTATCGTGATACATTCCTCCAGCCTCCTTTGTTTGGCTAGAGACCCCATAGAATTTTGGCAATTTTGGCCATCTTACCAAAGTATTCTATATTCCATTGATTTAAATTGCTATGGAATTATATCTTTAAGCATTATTTATGGTCCAATAATTAATATTTTATATGCTAATGTAAAAGATCGATATTTCCATGAGGGTAGCATGACAAGAAATAGCCAACAATAAGAAAGGGGATTAAAATAAACATTGCAGACCAACCGACAGAGAACAAACCCCCCAAACAAGGGCTGTAATCCAGGTTATGCTGATTTCCCTAGCAACCTACCAGTCCTCAACAGTCAACACGCTCCAAAATCATCCCCAATGTGCGCGTCTTCCTTCTCTGTTCACCAGCTCCGATCCATACGCACGCCGGGTACCAACTTTACAGGTTAAGCTCAAAAAGACTGAACAACTCCCAAGTCCCAACACATCACACCAAAACTACTCTCCTGGCATAGAACTAACAGTCAGGGGTCCTTACTGGAGAGCGGGGGGTACCTCACCTGGCCCAACCTCAAAACAAGAAAAAGGAAAAAAATATGAAGCATACTACGCCAGTAAGCAGGAAACTCAAAATTCTAACCAAGTTTGGAAGCTAAACACCTACACCACAGACTTCAGCTAACTATGATTACTGAACGAGGCACTCTCAAGTCCTTGACGGCACTTTGAATACAAGATATGCAGTGGTGCCTCTCTTCTCCAACAAGCGTGCTAACCCACCTGCATCAACAGATATAAAAGGATTACTTCTTCCACACCAAGGGCAAGCAGGAATTGGTTGGGGCTGGTGATTTAAGTCTTTGATGCTAAATACGATCGATGTTCCCCACTCCCATATTGCCAATGATATAACCACTATTTTTTGTCAATTCTGATCTTGTAATCTTCTTTGTATTTTTTTAAAAATATTATCCCTATTATGATACAACACATAAAGCTTTGGGCTTGCCAGCAAAGTTCACGAGTATAAACTAAAAAGTCATAGGAAGGAAATGGATCATCGGTTTTTGAACTCAGTGTCTATGGAAAGCAAAATTCAAGAGTACAAGGTTTACGTAGGTTTGGCAATGGCATTCAAACAAATTATTCGCATGTTGGTGCGCTTTATTTTGTTAGATATCTGAAGGGTGAGCTAGTCATACAAATGTTTGTTTCATAGATATGATAACATTGTATCAGTGTAGGTTTCACATGTTGGATGTGAATTGGGATTTCATATAGATGAAGCTTTTGTAGTTGCATTGCTGTTTGTTTCTGTTTTTGGGATGATGGTGTTAAGAAACAGGGTTCAATAATATATATGGTTGAAATTATAACTGGAAGCTGGAGCTATTCATATTCACAACTGATGGCATCAGTTGCTAGGATTATAAACCTTAAAAATTTTATCAGAATTGATCCTTGCCACTAATTCTTTTTAGTTTACTCTTCTTTTTAATATAAACTACCAAGTAACCCCACAGATGATAACCCCACCCCCCGCCTTTGGCATGGAGGCACAGACCATGGCACATCGTAGAATTTTTTTTTTTAAAAAAAAGAAAAAACAACAACTAATTTAATGAAGGCTTTTCAGCACGGATAGATTCAGCAAACCAGAACATGTAAAGTAAACAATTTAAACGATTCCTATCCACATACACATTTGTGCTAATAGTACAGAGTAGTACAATAAGAGATAAGCATAAACCACATATGTAAATGCATTTGTAATACACATCTAGACACATAACACAATTTATTATTCAGGAGTGAAAAGTTTTAACTAAGTACAGGCATAAGGTAGTCCAAAAGATTCAGGCCGATTTCACTCCCTAACTTCTGATTATCCTTAGTGGCTATATGTGTAGGAGTCTCGCCTGCTGTTTTTTGTAAAAAGAAGGGTATAACCACTGTTTTTTCAACTGGGATAAACATATGGTACTCTCCAACTGTTTCACTTAAAGAATCAAGGCAATTGTAGTCGGCAACTATTAACCATAGATAGGACCCAGAGGAAAACTTTTTTATGTCGAGTCTGCTCGGTTATATGATATATCACAGATTTCCAAAGCCTAATATTAGTAGGTTATAGATCCAAATTAGCGTGTTGTCTCTTCTCCACAAGAACAACAAGAAGAAGAAGAACAATATTATAACAACAACAACAACAACTAAAAAGGAGAGTGATCAAGCGCAAGACAAACCAGTGATAAGCTTGATGAGAAAGTGGGGGATCAGAGAAGAGTAGAAAGCGGTGATCAAAAGACAGCAACAGGCACAAGGCAAGGTACTTTGAAGCGTATAGCAAGGGGAGAGGGCAAACAAAGGAGTAAGAGGAATGCTGACTTGATGGAGGTTGAGGTAGAGACAGGGTTGTTAAAGAAAGCAAGAGATGATGGGGAGGATGAAAAAGGAAGAAAACACCACTTTAGAAATTGTAAAGTCTGGGCTGCAGTGACAGGCCAGCAAGCCAAAACGAGGATTAACAGCTTGGAACTGCTGGGAATTGGGGAATGTCCTGGCAGTTGAGGGCTTCTGGACCTCCAGAAGCAAGAGGACCTCAACATTTTATATTACCAGATACTAAACTAAAATAGATGAGAAGAGGACGAGTTGGTTCAAGTACTTGCTGGGAATGTCAAATATTGAAGTGGTGGGCTTGCTCTATTGTGGAAGAAGTGGTGGGCTTGCTCTATTGTGGAAGAAACATGTAAACATTGAGTTCACAATTATTCCAGATATCATATTAATGTGGTGATGGTGGAGCAGGATGGTTCACATGCTCTTATGGGAACCAGAGACAGATAAGAGAGAGTAAGACTTGGAAGCTCTTGAAAATCAACATCAGCAACTTCCATGGCTTTGTGCCAAACACTTCAACAAGGTTCATGATCTTGGTTATTTAGGAGACAAGTACAGACCTGGAGGAAACAACAGCCATGAGGCCAACAAATATGTAAAAGACAGACTTGATAGGGCTGTTGGGTCCCAAAATTGGTGACAAGGTTCCCGTCATATAAGGTGATACTACGAGATCCAAGATACTCAGATCATAAACCTGTGACCATACTAATTGGAGTTACAAGATTTCTGTGATGTCAAGGGGGCAACAGTGGCTTCAGGTTTGAAGCAAAGTGGTTGCAGGAATAATGCTGTGAAGAAATTGTTAATAGTGCACGCATGATTCGTTGCTTCCTTTCAGGTTGAAAATGGTCTGTCACAGAGGCTAAGAAGAAAGTTCATCAACGGAGTATTACACCCCATGGGCCAACACCTGACGGGAGGTTATCTGTTTCTTCAGCATATGAGCTGTTCTTCATGGCCAGGGAGCTCTGTGTCTCCAGTGAGCTGATCTGGACCACCAAGACACCTTCCAAAGTAAGATTTTTCTTGTGGCTGGCTGCAAAGGGTCACTGTTCAACAGCCGACAATCTTGAAAAGAAGGGATGGCCGCACGAGGAACATTGTGTGCTATGTCAGCGTGAAGATGAAAGCTGCTCACATCTGTTGCTCACTTGTGATTACACCCAGAGAGTCTGGCTACTGATGAAAAAATGGATTGGAATCAGCTTCCCCGTGTCTGGACATGAAGAAGAAAACCTAACAGATTGGTGGACGAACGCAAGGAGGTTTTTTCGGACCGGCTACAGGGACATCTTTGACAGTGTTGTCGCCCTAATCTGCTGGTCTCTGTGGAAAGAGCGTAATGTTAGGATCTTCGAGCAGAAAGTGCGCACCCCTGAGCAACTAGTGGAGGATATCAAGGAGGAAATCCTAGTGTGGAAGACCGCAGGAGTTATCCAACCATGTAATAACGATCATCTCTGATTAGAGTTTGCCTTAGGGCATTGTACTTTTTTTTTCCTCTCCAGCTTACGGGATGAGGGCCTAGCCCTTCTCCATCTCGACAGCGTACTGTCGTTGTAAGCTTCTTTGTAATGTTTTCCAAAATCCTTTTCCTTAATGAAATTGGTCGACCGAATCTTTTGGCCGACCTGGCAAAAAAAAAAAAAACCTATGGGCCCTGGGACAGTAAATAGTGTGTAATATGTAAGTAGTGGACTCACAGGATATTGTTATTAGTGCTAGCCACTATTCACGAAATGCAGCGGATTTTCATATATAGTGCGGGTCAAGGTATTGTCGGTGACAGTAATCATTATGCAACTACTTTGTTATAGTAGTAATAAGAAAGTTGACCCGCAGATGCAGAATATGGATACTATGAAATTTACTAGAAGATCAAATGGCAGGAAAATAAGTAAAACTTTATATACCTATTAGGAAGAATTAGAAAACGCATTCCACGGGTCAGAAAACCTGCAATATGGAAAATAATCATTTCAACAAATATATTTCAAGAGAAAACAAATAAACATACAAGAGAAGAAAAAGTACGTGTCTTTTAGCAAGTCACTCTTCACCAAAGCCTTGATAAGGTCTACAACAGCAGCCGAAAGATACTTAGCAATTATCAAGTCAATTTCAACCAAACTCTTGAGTTTTTGCTCCATGTTATCATCCTTAAAGACAAAGTTTTGAACACTTGTCAGGAAATTGAACTTGCACATATATGAAATGAAAGAGAAAATTAAGATTTCATATGCCCGTACTTTCGTGTGATCCGCCCCGTGCTCAGTAACGTGGCGGATAAACACCAGCAAATCTAAAAGATCGCCACTGTATGATCTTTTCTTCTTCTGATCTTGACTGTTGGATGCCTTATCTGCGTCACCTTCCACGATGCCATACTCAGATACTTTTATAAACATTTGGTGCTTGTCTACTTGGTCAAGCCATTTATCTTCTGGAAACATGGATCCTAGAAGGGATATCAAATCCTTCTTTGCAGTTTTCCCAAGTAGCTGGTACGCTCGGAACAAATCCATAAACAGGTGCCTCCTTGACATCGCAGACCTGAGTGCAAGATGCGAACTCAGATACTTATGGAACTTCCTGGTTTTCTCTGAGTTGTACTGCCCGAGCTCTCCTGCGCTCTCTTTTAGTTCAGAAAAAAGCTTAATGAAGTAGCCAGGGACCTGCCCTTGAGCTGTGCGAAAGTGTTTCTCTAGTATCTTTGCCAACTGTTTCAGATCCTTAGCCATTGCTTTACAACTTGCATGGGAAGAAGCTGCCTTCGTGATTCCAAATGTTGATTCATTTCTGACTAGTAGATCATCAATAGAAAATTCACCACACCAACTGCGTCCATCTTTATGCTGATTGATGATATATATGAGGAACCCTAGGAACACTCTCCTTCCCAGCTTAGTACTATCAGCGACTAAGCTACCATTGGGATCATAGATGCGTGCAGTCTCCACAAGTTTGTTATGTGCTTGTCCCAGGAAATATTGAAGTGAAACAATGCTGCATTAAAATGACACAGTTAGTCTTTACTCAAAAGACAAGGCGCATAAGACTTCCTTTTCTCTTTTCTATCTCATGTAGAGAGCAAACCTTCCAGCTGGGGGCAGGGCATCAATATGAATCTTTGGGGGGTCATTTGATATTTCTCTCCATTGATCATCAAGTTCATATTCGGTGATGAATCTTCCTATAGCACTTCGCAAGAAGCCCACGACCCTGTTCAGAATGAACGCACAGTTACAACATTTGCAAAAGATAAAGATCTGTCTATACAACATACGCCATAAATTTGAGGTATAAACTTAACTACACAATCCAAAATAATCTGATAAATTCCAACCACAGTATTTGGCAGAATACATGTTACTGAGATTAGTAAGAACATTTTGACCACAATTGGATTTCCTAAGAAGCATAGGAAATTATTCATACACTTTCAGTTGACATTAAAAGAAAGTTACACTCTCTAGTCATTCATATATTCTCCTGTCTTCAGTCTGCTCTCTATTAACTACTTTTGCTTCTGACTTCCACATGCATGCTCTCTCTATATAATTGTGTCACCATAAATTAACAAATTCGAAAGGTAATGGCAGGAATTTGTAAAGCGATTCATCAATATTTTCAGCTGATATAACATTTGGAAAAAGGCAATGTAAATAAGTAGCAAGTCGCACCTCGCATATGAGTTGGATATTTTTGTACCCAGGTTTGCATATTGTCCTTGGAAGTGCCCATAGTAGACACAAAAAGTTTTGCTGTTCTGATAGACCATACTCTTTAGTTCCCCAGCATAGAAAGGCCCTTCTCTGTGCTCTACTGTGAAGCTGCATGAGACTATAATGTCAAAAAACAAATTTATACATCCTTCAAAAAAATTATAATATGACTAGAAAAAGTGCCCGTGCAGACCCCACATGATCATGAAAAACTATCACGAAGATCATGAAGTTGAAAAATATCATCGTATATGTCATTAACATGTGGGTCCAGACCCCACATGATCATTCTCGTATACGATAGTATTTCACAACTCACTTATATTTATGATGGCATTTTATGAATTTTCTATTGTATGAAATCATTGGGATTTAATTTAGACATATTTGCATTATTGCAGGGAGCAATCCTGACATGTACTCATAAACATGTCCATATTTGTATCAGAGAGCTTAATTGGATGTGCATGTGTAGGATGCTCTCCTACGGTAGTTTCCCTAAAAGAAATGGATTTACATGCATATGCATATGGAGCCATGGAGACGAGCAGACTACATAAATAGCCAATTAGCAGAAGAGCATTGAGGCGATGATACACCCAGCATACATCTTCTTTTCTCAATGGAAGGCCCAAAAAATATCTCAAACCAGTCTTTAAAAAAGAGAGCCCGATTCAGTTCTCTGCTTTAAGCCCATCCCAAAACTCCTATTATGATTACTGGATTTTACGTAGGATCTTCACTTATGTGCACACATGTGTCGGAAGAAGAAACATAGTAGGACAGCTATGTCGTTCGTAATAAGAACTTGATCTGATGAAACACATCTTCAATTTTTATAAATCACATTGGGCTAGTCTTATGCTCTCTAGGATACATCAATCCAAGAAATAGTTGATACCTTCGAAGGAACTGAAGGAAGTTGTAGCCAACTGTTTCATCTTCTCTTTTGTTCACCACTGCAGCTGCATAACTTCGAGGGCTTGGTGTCTGTTGGGACTGGGAGGCCTGCTGCTGCCGCTGGCCGTGTTGGGCTGCCTCGACGACGTCAGTGGGCGAGGCCAACGTTCCCGAGCGCTGCGGCTCGACCGCCGTCCCCACCTCCGCCTCCGCCTCCACCTCCGCCTCCTCCTCGACGCGGACGGCGGGCGAGCTGTCGCCCGACCCGACATTGGCCTCTCCGCGGTCGTCGGTCTTCTTCCGAGGCTTCCCCTTCCCACCCTTGTTCTTCTTCTTCCTACCACCATGATGAGGCATCTTTAGTAGCCTAGCGGGGATGCTTCGCTCTGCGATCCGCGGTGGGGCAAGCCGAGGCAGCGGCGGGAGGTGCGCCCGCGACGTGCTCGACGGAATGCGCACAAGAGGGTGGGAGGGCAGGAGGGGGAGCAGGTGGGAGGGCAATGGGTAAAGTAAAAAACCCCTCGGCCTCATCCGCACTGAGGCCGGCGTGGGTTCTTATATACTTCGGATAGACGTGTTGAACCACAAGCTACTAGTAGTACTAAAGTTGAACCACAAGCTAGGAGTACCGTGTATATAGGAGTATATGGCTGTGTTTAGATCAGTTTGGATCCAAACTTCAGTCCTTTTTCATCACATCAACCTGTCATACACACATAATTTTTCAGTCATATCATCTCCAATTTCAACTAAAATCTAAACTTTACGCTGAACTAAACACACTGTCAAGCAGGTGAGTACGTTGGTCCAAACAAACCACTCCCTTTATTATTTCTACCACATTTTATTATTGTTTTATTTCTTTTTCTTGATTACCCGTCGACAGCAACACGTTCGTGGTAACTTCACCAATATCAAAGATGCACCGACCTAATCTTTTATGGGTACTTATAGGAATAGGGTATACGTGTGTGTATTTATAGAGATAAGTATACGTGTGTTATAGACAACTACGTTTGTACTATGTTTTTATAAATATTAGTAAGAGGGTTTGCGTTTTCTTTATACAGCCGAAAACAACAGCCAGGTGGCTCAATTTGAAAAGATCTAAAGATGCAGTCTCAAAACATTAAATAGCTAATCGGCTGTGTGGTACTGGTAACATATAGTACGTATATAAACTCTTTTTTTTCTCTAAATAAATACTAGTAAATTTACGGTCCTCGATCGAATAGGTATAGAAGGTAAAAATTTCTTATTGCCGATTCAAGTGGTGGCGTTGTAACTCAATCTCACTACTATTTTTTTTTTCTCCCAAGCGTAGAGCCTATACCATAGTTACAACTGGAGTCATATATTGGCCGGTATACTGGTATAGTACAAGGTGTGCAGGTGTTCAGGCCAAAAAAAATTAGGACCACAAGTCTATCATTCGTAGTAATTATCTATACTTAATTAGCATCAAATTACAAGGCTTAGTAAACAGAAGAAAAAAACAAACCATAAAGATTACAAGGCCCATTTACCCAATCCCATTGATGGGTTGTGCTTGATGATTCGTTTCTAATTATGGGAAAGCATGCTTTGGTTAAATTATACTACCTCTATATTTTAATTTATGACACCGTTGATTTTTTTCTAACGTTTGACCATTCGTCTTATTAAAAAAAGGTTATGTAATTGTCATTTATTTTATTGTGACTTAATTCATCATCAAATGTTCTTTAAGCATGACATGAATATTTTCATATTTGCACAAAAATTTTAAATAAAATGAATAGTCAAACATTGGTCAAAAAAGTCAACACCGTCATCCATTAAAATACGGAGTAATATTTAATTTTAGAGTCTCATTATGTGTTTCGCAGTTGGACCTTCAATCCCTAGGTACGATATTAGTTATAACCTCAGTATATTCTAAAGCTGAACATGCACACAAGTTATATCATTACCCAACAATTATTACTGATTTTAAAGCACATACAAACATACAATATTATTTACAAATTAGTGTATAATCTAGATTTTAACATGCAAACGTATCAAAGTCATCATCACCACATCATTTTCACATATTTCAACATATATCGATATACCATTTCTATAATATTTAACATATATTTATCTATATATTTTCATCTAGTTTTTTTTAATGTCATGGAACCATAAACGAGTGGATAAAAAAAGACTCGAATATTAGGAAAGGACCTAATATCAAATAATTAGAAATGGTGAGGCTTTGAACCCAGATCATATAGCCCACCACCTTATGGAGTTAGCCAAAAGACCCCTGGGTATTTCTCGTTAGACGAGTGGATGTCTACATTTTTTTTCTCAACGTAGAATTTTTTCTAATTTCATAGAACGCCGAACAAACAATTAAAGGCTATGTAGACTCTTCTATCAAAACCCCACCATCGTGATGCAGTTATAGAACGTTCGTAACCATGCATGCAAGTGTACGTAGCATCAAATTAAGCCGTGCTAATGCAAGTGGTTTCCCTTTTTAAAACAGAGATACTACACGACCAGGATCAACATCAACTAACCGTGCTAATTAATGCAAGTAGGGGTATAATTTTTGCATGCGTACAAAAGCACAAAAGCACGTATGGTTTCCCTTTTCAAACACAAAGCAGGAATTAATTAGTTATTTGTGGGTAGGGGTGGAAAAAAAGCTTGGGCTCGTGAGCTCAGCTCGGGCTTGGCTCAAGCTCGCTTAGCTCAGCTCGGCTTGAATGCCAAACGAGCCAAGCCCAAGCCTCCTTTTTAGCTCGTTCCTGAAACGAGCCAAGCCCGAGCTAACTCGCGAGCCGCTTGATTTGGCTCGTGAGCTTAGGCCATCATATATTTATATGGATGATTTTATTTTCCAATAGAGTTATTATTTGTCAATATGTAATTTATTATCTATATTCTAATGAATTGAATATATAAAGTTATTTTAATTTTACATGTTGATAATTTGTTATTGTTTTCCTTAATGATTATAAATTATGTAGCTTCAACAGAAGGCTCGCAAGCCAGCTCGAGCTGGCTCGAGCCAGGAAACAAGCCGAGCTGAGTTTATGTTTTAGCTCGTTTCCCTAACCGAGCCGAGTCAAGCCAAACCTACCTTGTTACGAGCCATTGCAAGCCGAGCCGAGCCTGGCTTGGCTCGGCTCGTTTCCAGCCCTATTTGTGGGGCACCACTTAAGTCCTAGCTGCATGCATGCTTAACGACTAACGTGGTATGATCAGCTAGCAATAATTAATACTCCTAGAACAGTAAGCTTTTGCTACATGTACGGAAAAGGATATACTATAGTATTAGAGCAAGTTTAATAGTATAGCAAATTGCTACCTTCAAATTATTTATAGTCAACTTAATAGCTAATTTATACAATAGTTACCTATAAACATATACTACATAATTAATATTTAGTCCCACCTGTCATACACTACACATGTATTTTAAAGTCCGTACTGTAGCTGGCTACAAATCTGTAGCCCGCCGCTATTCTCTCACATCTTCTATCTTCTCAAAATGAGTCTATGGCTAACTTATAGCCTGCTATTGTACCTACTCTATTGTACCTGTTCTTAGGGCATGTGCAATGGTAGTCTCTTAACGTTACTAATTAGAAATGTTTGCTAAATGATAGAGAGAGAGAGAAACAAGGAGAGGCAAACATTATTTTTACTATGGTTAACAACTTTTTAGCGACGACTTTGAACATCTATAAAATGAAAACTTTGCTGCATAAAGATGTGAACAAGGAAATAATAGTAATAAAAAATAATTTTGTAGATTAATGGTTTAGAGTGTTTGCTGTGTTCACCGTTGTAAGGACATGGTATCTAAGTAAACATATGTTACTAAACCCTTAAATACTACCTCCGTCCCAAAATGTAAGTATTTTTAGCTAGTGCCCAGATTCATAGCTAAAAATGCTTATATTTTAGGACGAAGGTAGTATTTAAGCGTTTATATATATATGGGCTCTGATTTGAACATGCCTAACAACGGCTTTTAGCCTTCATACAATGAAAACATAGTTGTATGAGGGTGAAAAAAAAAGGAAACAATGGAAATAAAAGAATCTTATTTTTAATTAATGGTTATATTAGAGCTTTTATCATCTCACTGTTGTAAAGACATGGTTTCTAAATAATCTTATATTGCCTAAGCGACCATACTCGTCTTTACTATTGAACGTGCCTTTACTCTCTCTCTCTCTCGCAATATATTCTTAACTAAAGCAAGTTTAATATATATAAGAGAGCTAGCGGTTGTCTCCAAAGTTGTTCACATCAAAGGTAGGAATTGCTAATATATACAATAACTAGCTATTGGATTACTATACAAAAATTTCCAAAAAATCTATCATCCAACTTTTAAATATAATCAAATTTAGGCCCCCACCACTTTAGGGCTTATTCGATTTTGAGGAATTTGAATCCATAGGAATAGAAAAGGTGCAAGAATAGGAATGTTTGCATACATCAATCCATAGGAATTTTTCCAACATGTTTGAGTGGATGGAAAAATTCCTATGTTTTCTCTATACAACTTGTAGGAAAGGAAACTTTCCTTTGATTTTCCTATACCTCAATCCAACAAATGGAATGACGCTCATAAAAATTAATCTTATGAATCCAAATGCTTTGTTTTTCTCTAAAACGGACAAGCCCTTAATCTGCCTTTTCTCTCACCCACCAAACTAATTTTTCTTCCAACCTATGGAAGGCCATGCAGTCCCACAAATAATGCATGGTATTGGCAGCACCAGCCGCATGCAGGCGCTAAGTACTTTCTCTTTATCTTGTGCTATCGCCTGGCGACTGCATGATTAGGAGTAGATCAAACGGTCGGAAACTAATTGATCCTCTCTAAAACGTTATCATGACAGACACCACTGTGATTTAGTAAAGTGCAGTTTTTAGTTAAGCCCTTAACTAGTCTGTGAATGCAGTCAAAATATCTAATAAACACTTTATTTTTGAAATAATTACTCTCCTGATGGAGTAATAATTACTCTCTCTGTTTTTATTTTTTACGCGTTTAACTTTTGGACGTACGTTTTGATCATTTGTTTTATTAAAATTATGTAATTATTATTTATCTTATTGTTATTTGTTTAATGCCTAAAGAACTTTTAGCAGAATTACATTTTTAATATTTGCATAATATTTTGATAAGACGAATGGTCAAATTATATCCAGCAGTAAACGGCATCAAACATTAAAAATTGAATGGATCATAAGTGGCGCTTCTAGAAATAAAACAGTACTAGCAGAATGATGTTTTTTACAATAACCCTGGGTGACGTACCGTCAAGACCCAGCTGATGCAGTTAAACCAAATCGGCTGCGGCTTTATGATAAACAAGTGACAAACTCTAAATAATCCCTCTGTTTCAGGTTATAAGACGTTTTGACTTTGGTCAAAGTCAAACTACTTTAAGTTTGACTAAGTTTATAAACAAATATAGTAATTTTATAATATCAAATTAGTTTCATTAAATTAATAATTGAATATATTTTCATAA